GGTGTTCAAGTTTATATAAAAGAAGATTTTCCTCATGCGCATTTTTTACATTGTTATGCACACCAATTTAACCTCGTTATTAAAAATATGTGTCTTGATACCCCTCTAGTCCGTATATTTTTTGCAAATATTTCGGGGTTTTCTTCATTTTTTTTCGTTTCGCCGAAGCGCTCTGACCTCCTTCGCCAGATATGTAGCCGCCGTCTCCCAGCTTGTGCACCAACACGTTGGAACTTCCAATCACGCGTGGTGCAGGGCGTGTCCGAAATTAGGTCTGAGCTCATTGAGTGTTTCAATGGCATTCAGAGCTCTCCGGTTTGGGACGAACGCTCTGTGAGGGAGGCGGCAGGTCTAAAGCGTCTGCTAGAAGATGGTGAAGTTTCATTTTTTCTCGCTTTTTTCTCCACAATATTCTATCACGAGGATGTATTATACGGCGCATTGCAGTCAAGGCTAATGGATGGAGCGTCTGTGCAGTCGTGTATTTCAGACTTCTGCGATGCTGTATCTCGTATCCGGGAAACAATAAAATACGACGACCCATGGAGTGCTTCTTTACGCCGCGGGCAAACAACGCAGCGTTTGATTTTGTCTGCAAAGGAATGCTGTGACATTCTGGTGAATCAAATAGGCGATCGTCTGCGCACTGAACACATGCTACTGTCTCCAAATTTTACCCCATGATAAACGTGGGTAAATTGGAAAATGAATTGCGATGTATATACACCAATCAAACTTTTTTGAACATCACATCAACTTGCGCGCTCTATGGGTTCCTCATAGATAACACTGTAGTAACTACCTTTACGGCGTCTGCACAATTTCTGGACATCATTTTGACGACGCCTATTTCTTCCGCCGACGCAGAGCGAACATTCAGCACGCTGAAGCGTATTAAAACGTATCTCAGAAACACAATGAAGCAAGATAGATTAAATTCCTTGGCTGTTTTATCCATTCACAGAGACGTTATTTCTGGGATGCATGACTTTAATCAGCGCGTTATTGAGCATTTGCTTCCAAGGAACCGCGGCGTGTTGCATATATGTTCAAGCAGTAGAAGTCTAGCAGCATATATATCTATGAGTGAGCGACGCATGTCCTTATCTTTGCATTAACTTTCCTTTCTTCATAGTAACGTTTTAAACCTTATTTTAGGTTTTGTCTGCTTTCCCGAAGTTTCTGTTAATATGTCATTGTATTTATCCGGGTAAATATTGCCTTTCCTTTTGAAAGAGGTTGCAAAATAAACTATGTCTATATTTATTAATCCCTTGACTTGGACCGGTTTTAAAGACACTTTCTTATCGTTAAAAATTGTCGCTTTTGCCGATTGGTTGTTACCGATGGAATGGTCTTTATACTCATAAAATGATGGGAGAACTTACAGCGCTCATCCTGTCCCCGTGGATGGGGGTGACTTGGTCCCGCAGTAGCTTGCCCCGGTTGTCAAAATGAACACGCGCCGCCACTGGATTTTGCAAATCATAACTGAAGTTTTTCTTTGAAATAAATAGAATATAAAAGCTTAAAACAAACAAGGAAATTTATCATGTACAACAGTATATCCTATAATTAGCTCTGTTTGTTCTAGCTTCTTTCAGATATGTTATTGTTCCAAAACAGTTGATGGTTCTCCAATTTGATGTTTGAATTATACATTGATTTTGAAAATAATTCATATCAACAAGTGTTCACTGAAGAATACTTCAGTAAAGTCCATTATTCACTAGTCAGAATTGAAAAGAGATATGAAATTCAATGCGTATGGAATCTATTTTATTTTCATTTAATTGTATTCGAGCCATTTTCATATACAGGATTACTTCCAAAAAACGGAACTTAGATATTTTCTAGTAACTTTCGTGAAAATGGAGTACGGTAATTTAATTGATTTTGTTTACACTTGAACTTCTGTTTGTGTATACTGGTACCCAAAAATTTCTATGACGTTTTCCACAAAAGTTAGATTCTCTCTAGAAAATGTTCTGAACAATCCCTTAGGCATAGAAGATAGACTTGTAAATTGTCAATCCCCAACTCAGTTTTGTGCTAAATTGCACTTTTTGCTGCCTGCGTATGTCAATGGCAAAAATATTGATTGCCTGAGTACAACATCTCCGAAAAACGTTACACTCATCATAGTGTACAGCATGAAAAAATGTAAAGCCATTTCCAAACATTGTGTAGCTGGTTCATTGACTTATTGGCAAAAATGAAGGAGTGAATATGGAACATTATGTAGCGGTGCTGAGAAAGTGCAGGGCATCATTTAGGCAAAGTAGAGGGATTGATGGAGTTGATTAATGGTTTTAGCAAGACCCTCGGTTGCCCTCCCCCCATCAATCTTCGACTGTATAAGAAAGCTGATGTCAGAAAGGGTTGATCAGCAGGAAGTTTGGTGTCTGGGGAATTTGATGGACAGTGTGTATCATAACATTCCCCAAACAATTGGTGAACTCAAAACTGCAATTGCAATAAAAACTACAAAAATCCAAACTATAAACAGTTTTTAAGATGTTATAACATAGACAATAATGTACCTGAAAGACTGCAGAATGCACGAATCAAATAGTTCTCTCCGTCACTTAGAACCAACATGTCATTATTGAATATGGCATCAAATATTCAATCTGTTGTTTACTGAGAAAAAAGCAATTGTAATGTTCAATTCAACTTGATAATGGGGCTAAGATGCTGAAAATGCTGACAATTGCAATGCTAACTGACCTTCACACTCAATAGAAATATTACATTTTTGAGGTCTACTGACCTCGTATTTGGAGGCTTCACATACCCACTGATCAGTTGAGAATATTCAACATTTTAAATACCAGACCTGATGAGTTGCTGTGGACTGTGGTTCATCATATCACCAAGTCAATTTATTAGCATTTATTTTTTTGGATAGATATGCAAGTGCTTCGTCATCTTATTAAAAAAGGTTGGATTTAATGTGCCTTACCTACTTTTACTGCATCTTTATCCAAACTTCCATCTGCTAATAGGGCATTTATAGACAAAGCCTCTGACTCTATACTAGAATGAGAAAAAGCTTTTTATTTGATAAAGTGTTAAGTAACTTTTCTAAATGTCATCTATATAAAATTCATACCTTGGCTCTTATTCGCTCTACAAACACCTGATCTTAGTTTGATACAATAAGCCTTCATTGTTTTTTTTTTTGGGGGGGGGGGGGGGGGGAGAACTGAAAAATGAGATGTACCGTAAATGATATAATAGAATAATATATTTAATTTAATTATCCAACATATTTGAGTAGATTATGTAGCTATGGATAATACAATTTTTTCCTGACCATCGATTTCTCTGTTTATGTCCGTAACAGCGAGCAATAAGTCAACAATGATGATCAATTGAAACTTGTAGTACGTAATTCGTGAAGTCGCTCTGACGCTTGTTTCGTTCAGACAGATATTCAAGCATGATGGTGAACATTGCCTCTTTTTCGCAGTTCAGCGTGTTATTTGTCAGTTTTCAATCTGGTTTCAAAAATTAGTTGTGAATCAAATAACTTAATTGTATTTCGATGAGCTTCACTTTAGTTGCTATAATTAAAAATTAGCCCAGAAAATGGTGCCTTATTACCATAAAAGCCTTAAAAAAATGTGGTTGAATATTTTTGCTTATTAAAATGCTGGTTCTGAACATATCAACCAGTTCATAAGCGCCAACTCTCCAAAGCGCTTACAAAATAAACATCAGAAATTTTGCAATACCACAGTACAGGAAGAAGTTTTCTGGGGTCAAGGGTTGGCCAAACATTCATAGACCTTGAAACCATTACTTTTTCAAACTTCTACTATGCAATAAACTAATATTCACTCACCTTTCATAGAAACGTGTGATTAAAAATTTACTTCCAATCTTCGTTTTTGTGATATTTCAAATTTTTGAACCTATAACATCTGTTGTCGACAATGCGTCATCGGTATGTACTCCTAGATACCAATCATTCGCAAACTGTCATTATGAAAATTAAATAGGATATATAAATCTTTTTCAATGTTCATTCCAGTTTCCATCTATCATTGTGGGAAACTATACAAAAATTTAGCTTTACCAAAAAAATTGTAAAAATTTCATTTAACTAAAACAGTGAATTTGACAATTTTCCTACTGATTTTCTACATTATTCACTACTCTTCAAGATAAATGCAAATTCTTCAATATTTCGTTATCAATGTAAACTTAATAAAATATAAGTATGAGTTTACTTAATAAAATATTTAAGAAAACTAAGAGAAGAGGCAATTGTTTTTTTAATATCTAAAATCCTTGATTTCAAGAAATTCATTGAAAGTAGAGTCGATGTCTTCATTGTTCTCTGGAATTATACATTTCTTTGCCTGGTTAATCTTGATGCTTATAACAAGCATCAAAAGTGAAATACACATGTTTTTAAGGTCTGCATTTTGTTTTACAATGGCTAAATCTTAGTTTTATCTTATTTAAACTACAAAATTAAGTCTTTTCATAACCCTGAAAACTTTTGAGAGTTTGTTGGCGAGTTATCCAAATTTACATCAATTTGTGACATTTCAGAATTATGTAATGAATAGTTGCAACGAAAAGTCTATAGATGCTGTAGCAATAATATTTCAATCGGAAGAGCGCGATTGATATCCTCACTTATCCAAGTCGCTTAATGATGCTATATTTTCTAAACAAGCTCTGTGAAATACGTAATTTTTTTTGTTCATACTGTCTGGCAATGTAGAACATACATTGTCTCCTGAAAGAAGAAAGGCTGAAAGGGATCAATAGATTCACATTTTCAAGAACATGTTTATTCGTTTAGGTGCTTCATCCAATCCTATTTCTGTCCAAATATGGAAATTCTATCATATCCCAACGTTTGATGTTGTATCGTTGTAGTGCTATTTACACACACTGATACAATTACAAATATAAGCTTCAATGTATTTATAGGCGTACACTCTAATATGCTGTGATATCCACCCCAAGATACCAAACGGTAGTTTTCGATCAAATTTATTAATCATGAATTAATCTTTTTATTTTATCTCATCAAATTGTGGAAGATAAAGATGAATTCCTCTAGTTCAGAATTGCATTTAGAGTGTTAAAACATTTGCATCATGTCTTCATTGTATAATTTGCAACTTAAATATAGCACAACATAAATACGATAACAATGAAACTGAGAAAGACACGGCATAACGCCTAAAATTGCATAAAAAATGACTCCTGTAGTTTTCTTATTTATTCTAGAATATAGTAGTTGTACTAAATAGTATACTGCAGTGTTATTATTTCCATTAAATGAATTTCTGTTCAGGGTTATAACTCAATATTGAAAAATCTCGTCAGTTCAAACTTTCCATCAACTCCGGATGTTCAACAATTTTAGAAGGATAAAGTTGTACAATGATTCCTTTCTCAATGAGCTTGTTCCACATTGAACTAATTTGATGAATAGTTGGATTTAGGGTTGGAAATGCCGACCAGACAACCCATTCACCTGAAAAGATATTGAGATTTGATATAAATCGCTCCAGAAATCTACAGATATGCAATTGGTTGATGTCCCTTTTGTAAAAAATTTTGTTGTCTTATGTTGCTTTTCCCCTATTCCCCACCTTACATGCAATGTGTAACTACCTCCACTAGTGAGTAGACATTCCTTGTGAATGAACATCCTTGACTGGTTTTAAGTGATCAATTTTCATTACTCACGGAATATATTATTTACTCTTGAGTGAATCTAATTCCGTTTATTGTGTGTTCTATCAATGCTGCTGAGAATAAATTGTCATTGAAACTAAATGAAAAGTGGCATAAAATACCTGAAAGACTGCAGAATGCATGGACTAAATAATTCTTTTTGTCGTATAGAATCAGATTATCACCATTGAACAAGGCATCATCTGAATATTAAAATGTTTCAACTATTGTTAATGTATTCACCATAACCATTTTAATCTGTAAATTCAATTATACATTACCTATTTTTTTAGCATTATTATTTGTTCCTCCGTCTTGTGTTAGAGTGTGTGAAGCCAAAACAGCTGGTTCTGTATCAAAATATTGAATTTCTTATTTATTATATTTCATTTTAACTATATAGTTATATCCAAAAATATTACTTTCGCTCTTTATCCCATAATAAACGCCGTCTATTCGTTTGGTCCGATCAATTGTAAAGGTTTGGGGAGGAGAACTGAAATAAAGTAAAATGTACAATTACATATCTTCTGTTTTCGAATGTATCTCTGATTTGGAGACTGAGTAGTTTGATCTGTCAATTCAAATGTAACAGAATTCGCTTATATACTTTAGTTTGAATATTGCAGTGTTTTAGTCATTTTTTCAGTTTTTTTTTTTAACTTTATTTGAAATAAAGTATAAACTTACTTCTCATGTAAATTAGTAACCACCATTTGCATTCCTTCATTTGTATTGGAGAAGTTCTGTAATTTTGTACCTATAACATCTTCATTCATGACCTCATCGTTGGTGTGTAGCACCAGATACCAGTCATTTTTAACCTGCACACAACAATATGGTTTGTAATTTCTACTGAATAATTTCATTATGCAAGAAGAGTTTTACTAAATCTCAATTGTTAACACCTGTGACACATTTGGAAAGTTGAGTGAAGTGAAGAGGTTGAAATCTCCAGATGTATTATTGTGAGATAATGTATCTTAAGTCCTAATGTTGTCTTAATCAAACTTTTGGAGAAAAGTGTAAGCGGAAAACGACAAATCTTTTAAAAATATATATCAAAAACTGACTGGAAGTAAAGGTTTTACATTTAAATTATATACATACCTTATCCCAGTCAATGTCCTCATTGTTCTCTGGAATTTTACATTCTTTTGCCAGGTTAATCTCGATGCTTATAACAAGCATCAAAAGTGAAATACACAATATGTTTTTCAAGGTCAGCATTTTATTTTAAAGCAGCAAATCTTAAGTTTGAAAAAACACAAAATTAAGTCTTTCATAACCCGGGAAACTTTCTAGAGTTTAGTGAGTTATCCAAACTTACAGAAATCTGTGACATTTCAGAATTATATAATGATAGTTGCAGCGAAAATTCTATAGATATTGCAGCAATAATATTTCAATCGGAAGAGCGCAATTGACATCCTCACCTATCCAAGTCATAGTACAGACTGTTCGTTACAAGCATTGCATTCTGTACATATATTTGTGCGCTTGATGATGCTATATATTCTAAACAAGGCTGTGGGAAATGCGTAATGTTTTTGTTTATACTGTCTGGGAATGGCTGTGGGAAATTTTGTTTATACTGTCTGGGAATGTAGAACATACATCGTTTCATGGAAGAGGAGGCAGAAAGGGATCAATAGATTCACATTTTCAAGTTCTGGATGTTCATGTTGGATGTTCTCCATCCAATCTTTTTTTCTGTACAAATATGTAAATTCTATCATATTCTAATTTTTGATGTTTCATCATTGGAGTGCTATTTACACACACCTATACAGTAACAAATATAGGCTGTAATGGATATATATATATACAGTACACTCTAATGTACTGTGATATCCACCCCCAAAACACCAAACCACTTTATATTTATTTAAATTTATTAACAATGAACTGATTTTTTTTTATCTTATCGTCAAATTTTGAAGGATAAGGATGAATTCCTCTAGTTCAAAATTCCAAACAAGAGCGTTGAAACATTTGTATCATGTCTTCATTGTATAATTTTCAACTTAATTCAAAATCGCCAGTCACATGTGTGAAATTGTTGACGCGACTCGGACAGGAAATCAATGATTATCAATCCTTAATAATGACTTATTATTGGTTTAGCATGTATTTCCAGTCATACATATCATCCCTGGCACTGTTATGTTTTGATAAATATGATTTTGACTGCACCATACTTGGCAGAGGTATCGAGATTTTTTAAACCTGAAAAAAACGTAAAATTAATGGTAATTTTCACGCGTAGCGGCGCGCATTAGAATGTTTACGTCTTTCTACGCGCATTTCCGTCGAAATAATTAACATTTTTTGCATTGAGGGGGGCGTGTGGACTAATAACTAGAGGTGTGACGTCATCAAAATTGCCAATTGAAGCCTTGAACTTAAAAATTCTGTAAATACAATCGTGGATTTTAGAGTAACCATTCTTGCTATAATAGTGATTTTGGTGTTGTTCTGATGGAAAATAACACAAGAAAACGTTGGAATAAAAATTAATTAATGAGGAATAATTATTAACCCTCTACTAGACACAAAATCTCGCAAGTTCAATAGAAATTTTGGAATTTTGACGTAAAAATTATTTTTTCTAGATGAATTCGTTTTACATATATTGATGAATACAGCTCTATCACACGCTAATAAAAAGCCACGAGTGAAGCTTTAGGGCCTAATGGCTGACAAACAAATAATCAAAGTAAAATGGAACCAGAACGACCGGCTGGGGAGGGTTTTAAAATGCGCTGTTTGATTTTTAATTACGGGAATACTTTTTACGACATCGCGGCGGCAGTCCACTGCGGCAGATTGCCTCTACACGTGCTACGGCGTTTTGTACTTTGTGTGGATATATTTGAGCATTGCTCTCTTTTGGTAATTTATTTTCATGTTAATGACTTAATTTTAAATGAGTATTTTTATCAAATGCATTATATATCAAGTAATTTTATGATATCTGCTTATATTATTTAATTGGAAATGTTGTTTTACATAGACATTCCTGATGTATGTTATATTAGGGAACCTGAAAAATTGGGGGAATGTGAATTTCTGTATTGTAATGTGAATTATGATTATTACCTCAGTCATTCAGTTACTGTTACAATTATTTCACTCTGGCAGTGAGCGCTCAGCTGTGTAATTTAAATAGTTGTACTGAAATTCAACTAAACACTATCGAACACATTTATTATTTTATATTTTCCAAGTAGAGAATTTAAAATCCTACAATGGTTTTTTAAAGCATCATAAACAAAAATTATTAATTCCTAAATAATCATAATTCACATTACAATACAGAAATTCACATTCCCCCAATTTTCCAGGTTTCCTAATATAACATACATCAGGAATGTCTATGTAAAACAACATTTCCAATTAAATAATATAAGTAGATATCATAAAATTACTTGATATATAATGCATTTGATAAAAATACTCATTTAAAATTTGCAAGTCATTAACATGAAAATAAATTACCACAAGAGAGCAATGCTCAAATATATCTACACAAAGTACAAAACGCCGTAGCACGTGTAGAGGCAATCTGCCGCAGTGGACTGCCGCCACGATGTCATAAAAAGTATTCCCGTAATTAAAAATCGAACAGCGCATTTTAAATGAAATATCAGATCTCGCAAATAATTAAGGAATAAATAAAAGTCATAGCTTTATAGAAACAAAAACAATCTTTAATCACGGAAATTACAAAGTAATTGACACAGTAGTTAACGAGAAAATCGATTTGTTTCTCTACAAGAAGAAGAAATACAAACACCAAGAGGAACAAGCAACAACAACATAATAACAAAACGATACATAGGTCTATTTCGTGTCCGAAAAAGCGTTTTACTGCATAACATTTTTACCTTTACGATTGTCTCATCATTCAAATATTAATTTTCTCATTTTAAACTCCGATTCAAGTAAGATATAATATTAATTTTTAAATTATAATCAAAGAATATTACGAATGATAATAATTCTTGCGGAAACCTATATTTTAAGTGAACAAATATTAAACCAAAATAGAGGGAACGCTGTATGAGGAACCAAGTTTTGCTTTACGGGGTAAAAATATGAATTTGAGATTTTTACATTCACATTAAATTAAAATTAAATGTCTTCAACATAATACTAAAACCATGATGAGCATCCATCTTTTTCGGGGTACAATGTAACGAAATTCTCCTGTTGAATGAACGTTTTCGGGCAAAAAAAAATCACCCCACCGCAGTAAAAGAGAAATATTATAAAATTTCATCAGGACATTTTAAAACATAAATTAATGTCACTGCAAAAATTTCAAGTTGATCGTTGTTATAATAACTTATTCTACTCTTCTACTACACTTTTTTTCAATTTCCGCTGTAAACCAACACAACGTAACTGATTTCGTTTATCTGTAGTTAGCGCCAATCACGTTGTGTGGAATACTCTTAACCCCAATGTTTAATGATTAGTAAATTTTCACAATAATGTACCGATGCAATGAAACACATACCAAGTAAATAAGTCCAACCCAGATTTTTTATCGAATGCTAATGAATCATTCAATGTATAAACACCATGAAACATAACAAACAAATAATTCTATCTACTTATTGTATCAAACAAAATTGGTTAATTTTGTTATGATCTATATCACAAAAATAAAAATTAGTGTTTTTAACATACACACTTTAATCACAGGCTATTTTGCGACCCTATAACAGAGTAACAAATATCGCTAGGTGAATTTTGTAAACGTATTTTTAAGCGCATTGGAATTACAGAAAAACTACGGTTGCGCACAAGCAATAATGTAAAATTCAAATACACAGCTTGCAAAAAGAACTTCGCAAAATTGAAAAAAAATTACAAAATTATCAAAAACTCCTTACAGTACACTTCACGCAATACCTCCATACAGGTAAATTTTATAAAGTTATTTTTGAGCGCATTGGAATCACACGCAACAACATGTTTACCATACACGATAAAATACTTCCACGTAAACACCACGGTAAGAAACATCAAAAATCCACCAATTCCCATTATCTCTGTGCAACGCGAAATTATAGTACCGGTACGGTACCGGCACCTTAATCTAGCCATAATTAAACAATCGATCAGTCAATCCACTACTACTATTACAGTGTTCATGTGGATTCAGATTGCGTTCAGCCAACGTTGCCAGTCAAGCAAACCAAAGCTTTGTTTGCTAATGTCAAGTGACCAGTACTAGATAAGACTAGGCTATAGCCTATAACGGTAAATACAGAAATTTAACGTTATCAGTAACTTATATCGTGAGTCGTAAATTCTGAACTTCGTACAAGTAACGTGAGCTACGGTATTCTATCTCAACTAGATACTTTGGATTTGCCAAACTTCAGATCTTGTCAAGCTTTGTTTGCTAACGTTAAGTGACCAGTACTAGGCCTAGATAAGATGGGTCTCCTGCAGTACGCGCCGCAGATACTTATAGTTGGCCGGTCTCGACAATTTTTGCATGTCTAATTTCTAACCCCCACATGACTACGTCATCCGGAAATTACATCACTGCATCACCATCGCGTCATAGAGCTTTCTAAATTCCTAAATATTCACACTTATTATATACCTGAGCTCTGGTTATTTTAGTGTGGAGGAGAATATCTTTGTAATCGGTATTTTTTGGCACTTTAGCTTCAATTCCTTCCAGCTTTTTTACCCCCATAAAGGATTTTGGCCCATTCTGTTCTCAACAACTTCTGATTTTTTGTATGGGATGCAAGGTGACTTAGGCCCAAGTTGCACTGAATAATTTTTTAGGGATATAAGTTTCGGACATTTCATTTCTGATGTTCATGCTCATCATACTGGAACTTAGGACTCTTTTTTCAATATTTTGGGGTTTTTAGCATTGGGGTTCTGACTTCTGAGCCATGCTCTACAATACATTCTACAAGGTGGTGGTCTTGAAATCCTGAATTTCTCAATAACAAAAATGTAAGCTGGACTTAGGTCCATTCTGTTCTTAACTTCTACAAAATATTATAGTCCTAAGTCCATCTGAAACTTTTATTATTTAGAAATTCAGGATTTCAAGACCATCCACCTTGTAGAGCATGGCTCAAAACCCCAAAATATTGAAAAAAGATGAATTTTCCAAAAATGTGACTTAGGTCCCTTCTGTTCTCATCCGGCGATATGCAAGTCTAATAACGGTACATGTTTTTAAATCTAGTGCGTTGTATTTGAGTGTAAAATACAGTGCGAAATGAATAAAATAATGTCACCATTACAAACATATTGTTGAAAATAACTTTCTATTCAGGATGTTGATTTTCTCGAAAATGAAGATGATCACAGTATTGGAACTCACAAGTAGCTAATAGCAGAGGAACTAAATGGGAGAAATATAGCAGATGAGCAGTGAACAACTGATAGGTTGGTACATGTTTTTAAATCTAGTGCGTTGTATTTGGGTGTAAAATACAGTGTTGACTCTGTTGAGAATGAATGAAATAATGTCACCATTACAAACATATTGTTGAAATCTTTTTTTTTTGTATTTTTAGATTGTAAGTCCATTCCAATGATGAACTCTGGATCATCACTAGATCACAGTTCGAATGGAAGCTTCAATTAGACAAAAGCAATTGCAGTGCTGGACTCTTGTTACAAGATTTTCAATCTACAAATACCATTACGTAGCAGAAAAGCTTGACATTCATCACAGCATGCCTGCTGCTTCTGCCCAATGAGCATATATACAATGAGTGGAAACTTGCAAAGATTTGCTCATTGTGGCATTGTCCCCTGCATTTTTACGTCGTCCAGCTAAATGGTTCGTTGCATATTAAGAAAACGCATTGCTCGCTGCCAAAATCCCTTGCTTCAGTCGAGTCGGGTGCGAAATTGGCCGTATTAACTTGACTTGAGGTCTTTAATTCTTCAATACATATTTGATTTTGGGTTTCGAAGTATGGTACGCTGAAAGCATACAACTATGAGCATATGCTTATTGGGAATGCATATCTATTAGACAGAAAACGTATCTACAGAACAGAATATGAACCAGTCGCCGAGAGGAGTGCGGTAATTTATGTATTTATTAATTGATATAACATGGGATTTACATATTTATCCGAGGGGAGAGGAAAGCCGAAAAGAAGGCCTAAATATATGGCGAACCACGGCCTCTCTCAATCATAGCTCTGTGCTCCATATGAATCACATGGCTCTGCGAGCTATTTGTTTACTTATTAAAAATACTGATTTTAACTATAAATTACTCTGGGATATCTTGCCATTGAAAACAAAAGCCAGAAATTGGAAGAAAAGCAGGGAATGAAATGTGTGTATTATGTAATGGAGAACCTGAGTTTTGATATTTATGAAGATTTTGTTTCAGATATATTAAAATTGATCAGAATACATTTTGTTATCAATATGATTCTTGCATATTATTTGATTTTAACGATCCTTTGTATAGTCGTATAGATACTGTTGATTCGGATGCAATTATACTTTTGTAATCAATAGTGAGAAATATTTCATGACTGCTATTAACTATGTGAGCTATTTTTTCTGCAATGCAAAATATTTCCTTCGTCTGCTATTTACTATGTGAATTAATTTTTCTGTAATGTAAAGTATTTCCATAACTGCTTTTACTATGTGGGCTGTTTTTTCGGTACTCGTAGTATGTGTACCAGGTTAGGTTACGATTCTCCTTATTTTTGTTATATTAAAAGTTCGGGAATTGTCTGTGTTACACAAGTGAATATCCCCCTACCGATAGAATTTAGTCCATTTACACAACTTGATATAAAGTAGGCGAACAAAATTAGTTACCTTCATATTGGTACACATACTTCTGGAGCACCATTTTTTTGTAATGTAAAATATTTAATATGTGAACTAATTTTTCTGTAATGCAAAATATTTCCCACAGCTTCTGTATTTTTTATATGTCACTTTTCATTTCATCGATAATACACATTGTTCATTCTTTGTGGAGTTTTTGGTAACTTTACAGATGGAATAAGACCGACATTCAGCTTTTTCTGTTTCACAACTGTAATACAAAAAGGTACTCTTGAAGTATGTAAACCCAGTTGGTAGACACCGGAACCATGTGTACCAGGTTAGGTTCTACTACATACAAACATTCCCAAACTTTTCAAGCCGCACCGCACCCCCTTTTCAGAATTGTGAAGTCTTGCGCCCCACCTCAAAAATAATTAGCTAACAATAATAAGCTACAAATAACAGTAGTAAGGCGTAAGTATGTTTTATTGGGAAAACATGTGGAAAAAAATAAATGACAAGTTTTGATATGCATAAAATTAGCCAAGTCCAGAAGTCAGTATTTTAAACTAATAGAGAGAGATAGTTTATTTCGTTCGTCAAACCATGAACATATATAAATTATAATAAAAAAAAAACAGATGCTCAGGTGTTTGACTGGGAGACAACGTTACAACATTTCGGGTCATTTAACAGGTTCGGTGTTAAATTCTTCAATACCTCTCATATACCTTATTCACTATATACATTATTCACAAGAATTTTTGATTTGGAAAGTACTAAATAATCATGTTTCGTCCTAAGATCATTCAATTTATTCAGCTGATAAGTTGACATGTATTGCATATCAACTGCATAAAAATGGGTTAGCGAGGATACCTATTATTTGGAAAATTTGTCTACTAAAAATGAATGTAATAGGACATGGATTTTTTATAAGCAAAGATGGGGAAAATTCTATTATTATAGCACTTTAATTATAAACATTTGATAATAGTAATGAAATCATGAGTAGATTTCTTTATACACTATAATTTGAACACATCAAATTATAATACTTGATTATGACTGGCAAGTGATTTGGAGGATAGTAACACACAATAATACATGATCAGGATTTGACCCTTCTCCATCAGATATATATATGAAATAAAGTGCTCATGTACATATCTATATTCGGCTACAGAGCACGTAACATAGAATGAATTTTAAGGCGAAATATTGATAATATACTGAAATAGCAATGATACCCAATAGGTTATTTTTAAATAAGTATTACCGGTACTAAAAAATAAATAAAGTGCTCATATACATATAGATATTTGGATACAGAGAAAGTATCATAGAATGAAATACAAGGCAAAAAACTGATAAAATACTTGAATAGCAATTATAATGAACATTATGATACTTTTAAATGAAGTATTACTAAAAAATAAATAATGTGGTCATGTACATAGATATTTGGATACAGAGAAAGTGTCATAGAATGGAATTTAGGGCGAAATATGGATGCAAGTATGATAAAAAATTTGATATTTTTATAAAAAGTGTTACTAAAAATTAAAATAATAGATTATGGAGTTCCAGCAAGTGTGCTCATAACAAATAAAAAGATAGCAATTCATTTACCACAGTGAATTAAATTCATTACACATTACTACTTGCTATAACACAGCAGGCACATGATACTCATCGTGTTTTGAACATTTTTAAAGGTTTTGCTCGCTCTCCAGAACTCTCCATTTTTATTTGTTTGTATTGTCAGATTGTGGACTTTTCAAAATAAACTATCTCTAATCTATATCAATGAATACAATATCCCAGGTCCCCACTTGGCTGGTTCATATTCTGTTCTGTAGATAAGTTTTCTGCCTAATAGATGGTATGTATTCCCAATAAGCATTACAGTATGCTCATTCGTTCACTCAATGAGTGATTTTAATTACGGTAAATATAAAATAATATATATAATATAAATAAGTTCATATTCCATTTTGCCTCCATGATCCAGTATTTATTTTGTTCAATTCCAGTAGTAATTCATACCATAATTAGGTTATTTTAATAAATGCATTGATATAAAACAATAAAAATAAAATTAGTAAATATAAAATACATATCATAAACATATAATTTTCTTTTTAAATAAATTTTTCATAAATTTTTCAATTCCCTCTCAAATGGGTTGTTTATTCTATAATTCTCTATATTTTTCTACATATTATGGCCATTTTTATCTGCTTTTTGAGAAAGGCAAAATGTGGTGTTTTATTTTCGAATATAATAGAATTTCTCATGGTCAAAATTTTATATCTCACTATTGATTACAAAAGTATAATTGCATCCAAATCAACAGTATCTATATGACTATATAAAGGATCGTTAAAATTAAATAATATGCAAGAATCATATTGATAACAAAATGTATTCTAATCAATTTTAATATATATATCTAAGACAAAATCTTCATAAATATTTTTTGTAAATTTACAATACATGAAAATATGTGAAACAAAGTCAGGTTCTCCATCACATAATACACACATTTCATTCCCTGCTATTTTTCCAATTTCTGGCTTTTGTTTTCAATGGCAAGATATCCCAGAGTAATTTATAGTTAAAATCAGTATTTTTAATAAGTAAACGAATAGCTCGCAGAGCCATGTGATTCATATGGAGCACAGAGCTATGATTGAGAAAGGCCGTGGTTTGCCATATATTTAGGCCTTCTTCTCCCCTTGGATAAATATGTAAATCCCATGTTATATCAATTAATAAATACATAAATAACCGCACTCCTCTCGGCGACTGGTTCATATTCTGTTCTGTAGATACGTTTTCTGTCTAATATATATGCATTCCCAATAAGCATATGCTCATAGTTGTATGCTTCAGCGTACCATACTTCGAAACCCAAAATCAAATATGTATTGAAGAATTAAAGACCTCAAGTCAAGTTAATACGGCCAATTTCGCACCCGACTCGGCTGAAGCAAGGGATTTTGGCAGCGAGCAATGCGTTTTCTTAATATGCAGCGAACCATTTAGCTGGACGACGTAAAAAATGCAGGGAACAATGCCACAATGAGCAAATCTTTGCAAGTTTCCACTCATTGTATATATGCTCATTGTTCTGCCAAATGAAGAATTTCCATTCAAAAAACAAAAAAGGCGTAACTTGACTTTCTCATTACGACTGTATTTATTTGCGACCTAATTTGGCCGAATATTTACTGTTTTAATAAATTGTTTAAATCTTGAAAACCTGTCGTGGTTTCATGCTTCCTTTGGGTGGTTATAGTACGTTTCCAGGCTTGCAAGAAGGTTGATCTTCTTATCGATTTGGGTGGGGTTGTTAGGGTGGAAATGTTAAACACCTACCCAAAGGGTGGAAGAAGTAGAAAACTTTGTGAACCAAATATTTCGGTGGGAATTCCCACTTTTTTCATTTAGAGTGTACGGTAGTTTTCGATCAAATTTATTAATCATGAATTAATCTTTTTATCTTATCTCATCAAATTGTGGAAGATAAAGATGAATTCCTCTAGTTTAGAATGGCATTTAGAGTGTTAAAACATTTGCATCATGTCTTCATTGTATAATTTGCAACTTAAATATAGCACAACATAATTACGATTTACGATAACAATGAAACTGAGAAAGCCACGGCATAACGCCTAAAATTGCATAAAAAATGACTCCTGTAGTTTCTTATTTATTCTAGAATATAGTAGTTGTACTAAATAGTATACTGCAGTGTTATAATTCCCATTAAATGAATTTCTGTTCAGGGTTATAACTCAATATTGAAAAATCTCGTCAGTTCAAACTTTCCATCAACTCCGGATGTTCAACAATTTTAGAAGGATAAAGTTGTACAATGATTCCTTTCTCAATGAGCTTGTTCCACATTGAACTAATTTGATGAATAGTTGGATTTAGGGTTGGAAATGCCGACCAGACAACCCATTCACCTGAAAAGATATTGAGATTCGATATAAATCGCTCCAGAAATCTACAGATATGCAATTGGTTGATGTCACTTTTTTGAAAAATTTGTTGTCTTATGTTGCTTTTCTCCTATTCCCCACCTTACATGCAATGTGTAACTACCTTCACTAGTGAGTAGACATTCCTTGTGAATGAACACCCTCGACTGGTTTTAAGTGATCAATTTTCATTACTCACTGAATATATTATTTACTCTTGAGTGAGTCTAATTCCTTTTATTGTGTGTTCTATCAATGCTGCTGAGAATAAATTGTCATTGAAACTAAATGAGAAGTGGCCTAAAATACCTGAAAGACTGCAGAATGCATGGACTAAATAATTCTTTTTGTCGTATAGAACCAGAATATCACCATCGAACAAGGCATCATCTGAATATTAAAATGTTTTAACTATTGTTAAATGTATTCACCGTAACCATTTTAATCTGTAAATTCAATTATACATTACCTATTTTTTTAGCATTATTATTTGTTCCTCCGTCTTGTGTTAGAGTGTGTGAAGCCAAAACAGCTGGTTCTGTATCAAAATATTGAATTTCTTATTTATTATATTTCATTTTAACTATATAGTCATATCCAAAAATAATACTTTCGCTCTTCATCCCATAATAAACGCCGTCAATTCGTTTGGTCCGATCAATTGTAAAGGTTTGGGGAGGAGAACTGAAATAAAGTAAAATGTTTTTTTTACATACAATGTTTTTAAAATTACATATCTTCTGTTTTTGAATGTATCTCTGATTTGGAGACTGAGTAGTTTGATCTGTCCATTCAAATGTAACAGAATTCGCTTATATACTTTAGTTTGAATATTGCAGTGTTTTAGTCATTTTTTCAGTTTTTTTTTCAACTTTATTTGAAATAAATTATAAACTTACTTCTCATGTAAATTAGTAACCACCATTTGCATTCCTTCATTTGTATTGGAGAAGTTCTGTAGTTTTGCACCTATAACATCTTCATTCATGACCTCATCGTTGGTGTGTAGCACCAGATACCAGTCATTCTTAACCTGCACACAACAATATGGTTTGTAATTTCTACTGAATAATTTCATTATGCAAGGAGAGTTTTACTAAATCTCAACTGTTAACACCTGTGACACATTTGAAAAGTTGAGTGAAGTGAAGAGGTTGAAATCTCCAGATGTATTATTGTGAGATAATGTATCTGAAGTCCTAATGCTGTCTTAATCAAACTTTTGGAGAAAAGTGTAAGCGGAAAACGACACATCTTTTATATATATATTAAAAACCGACTGGAAGTAAAGGTCTTACAATTTAATTATATACATACCTTATCCCAGTCAATGTCCTCATTGTTCTCTGGAATTTTACATTCTTTTGCCAGGTTAATCTCAATGCTTATACCAAGCATCAAAAGTGAAATACACAATATGTTTTCAAGGTCAGCATTTTATTTTAAAGCAGCAAATCTTAAGTTTGAAAAAAACACAAAATTAAGTCTTTTATAACCCGGGAAACTTTCTAGAGTTTAGTGAGTTATCCAAACTTACAGAAATCTGTGACATTTCAGAATTATATAATGATAGTTGCAGCGAAAAGTCTATAGATACTGAAGCAATAATATTTCAATCGGAAGAGCGCAATTGACATCCTCACCTATCCAAGTCATAGTACAGACTGTTCGTTACAGGCTTTGCATTCTGTACATATATTTGTGCGCTTGATGATGTTATATATTCTAAACAAGGCTGTGGGAAATGCGTAATTTTTTTGTTTATACTGTCTGGGAATGTAGAACATGCATCGTTTCATGGAAGAGGAGGCAAAAAGGGATCAATAGATTCACATTTTCAAGAACATGTTCTCCATCCAATCTTTTTTTCTGTACAAATATGTAAATTCTATCATATCCTAATTTTTGATGTTTCATCATTGGAGTGCTATTTACACACACCTATACAGTAACCAATATAGGCTGTAATGGACATATACACTCTAATGCAGTGGTCGGCAACCACCGGGCCGCGGCCCATCGCCGGTCCGCGGAAAGGTCACTGCCGGTCCGCAGAGAGGTGACACAAAAACGAACAAGGCCGTAATATAACCTCTACAATGTAACAATAAACCCTACGACTAAAAACAGCACCCAACAATAAACCAGACAAACACCAGGAGTCGGCAAACTGCGGGCCAAATGCGACCCGCGTACTAATTTGTTGCGGCCCTCGAACGACCCGACATTTAATACATAAAACAAAAATGGATCCCAAATTTATTATGGTCTCTACACGGATTTATGTGGTGACAAGTGCTGCTGTACGGCGCTTGGTATGTTACAAGTAACGTCAGTTGTATGTCGTTCGAGTTAATTTTAATTTTTAAAATTTGAAAATGAGGCTCGAGCATTTCAAAGTGCTTGAACGGTTAAATATTTTTCTTTCTTGCGCATTCCAAAACCGGTTTGCTCTATATGCCCAGTCAGCATCGCAGTTGTTAAGGGTTTCAATGTTAAACTCGTTACGAAACGAGTCGTCGAAAACCCGGGACTAGGTAATCTGTGCGACAGTGCAAAACGTGTAATTTGCACGTTCGGAAGAACATATGGCCTTGAGCAGCTTTATCTGAAATGCATTCCACTTAGATTAAATATCGTACTCGCTTGTCAGATCATCATTTGGACGACAAGTTGTTATAAAAACATCATCTTTTACATTGATATTAAGTAAATAAAAACAATGTATTGTTGGATAATATATTGAAAAAAACGACACATACACATCTCATTGGGGCAGGCTTTCAACAGAGCAAGGGCAGTAATGCGAATGCGTCAGAATTTGAAGTTTAATTAATGTAATATTGCGGCCCGCGCGCTACCGGTAATGTATATATTTGGTCCGCAAGTACATGAAGTTTGCTGATCACTGCACAACACTATTGAGCAGTATGTCTGACTTTATAAACAAATGCCATGTCAGTATGTCGCAATATTGCTGGGTAAATTGTTTTCTCTACGCCCATATAAGAATGTCTCTCATCAGTCCGAATAAGATCTCCCCAACAAAATGATACAGGCATTGTTAACTTTCTCGAAATCTTACTAATGTGAGGCCTGGTTTTCAATATTGATTACTACAAAAACGAAATATCGAAGTGTAAGAAACCACCCGTTTCGTGTGTCAATTAGAGATGTACCGATGTATCGGTATCGGGTATCGGTATCGGCAATATCGGTCATTTTTTCGGTATCGGCCATGTATCGGTATCGGTTAAATCAAGGCCGATATTGCCGATATATTTATCTTTTTGATATGGTCCAGAATGTTTTAAAAGATAAGTTGGAATACTACTTTCTCAATTCAAGTTGGAATACTACTTTTTAATTTATTTTTTGTCTGGAGAGATCGTGAGCTATGAGTCATACATGTCCCCACCCCCGCGAGAGAATAGGATTCACGTGTTTTTAGCTATTCATCAGCCAAACTAGCTCAACTAATTTGGCTATTTTCGCTGTCAAATTTTGATATTGACTTTTTTAATATTACATAGTAATTATGAAGAAATATATCAACACAGCACATAACAAAAAGCAACTAGGCGCCCAGTTTCAAATCATACAGTGGAATTAGGGTCCTTATCAACGGCACATGGACTTTTGTGGCACGGGTATAAATTCTGACTGTTTGTCGTCAAGTACGAGTGTCATTTAGTCCGTCGACATCGATAAACTAAATTCCGAAATTCAAAATTTATGATAGCAATTGTAAAATATTTTATATTATAAAATAGTAAAGTAAAAAAACATCCTCGACGGCTATAGGTAGGCCTTCTTTTTGTCGGTGCTGATTGATATTCTTTCATTTTGGCTTTGACTTATTGCGTCGGCGATTACGATTAGCCACGAAATATTATATTTGTAAAATGCTTTTAATTTGAACGTAGGACGGCGGCGCAAGAATGTGTGGGTGATATTCGATATTCTTTTAAACACGAATAACGATATTCGAAGGTCGCGATATTCATATTAAGTTCAAATGGGACATCCGGGCTTATGAGTTTATTAATTGAACACCGAGATTACTAGCGTTACTGTACAATGTATCTTAATCAGTTGAAGCAAACACCAAACATTAATTTCATATTATGTGATATATATATCTTTTTTTTCGATCTGAAATAATGTGTACTATGAACAACGCTCAAAGACCATTTGTTTTAACCCGTCTGCCCTACACAGCACACCTAATTAAGTAATAATTGCATAGTATCGGTATCGGAATATCGGTAATATCGGCCTTTTTGTAGTATCGGCGTATCGGTATTGGTATCGGCGTTTTTAGCTGGTATCGGATCGGTATCGGTATCGGCGACAAAAGTGGTATCGGTACATCTCTAGTGTCAATGTCGACCATATCTCGAATATGGAAACAGTTGATAGTCATCAAACAAATACAGATATCGGATTAAATAGCATCACCGTCGTTTTTAGTATATTGTCAACAATCAACATAAATTTCCTGATGCGTATAACTTATTGCATAGGCTTTTGGTCAGACTTTACCGGTCCGTCACTTGAAAAAAAGTTGCCGACCACTGCTCTAATGTACTGTGATATCCACCCCCCAAAACACCAAACCACTTTATTTTTATTTAAATTTATTAACAATGAACTGATTTTTTTTATCTTATCATCAAATTTTGAAGGATAAGGATGAATTCCTCTAGTTCAAAATTCCAAACAAGAGCGTTGAAACATTTGTATCATGTCTTCATTGTATAATTTTCAACTTAATTCCAAATCGCTAGTCACATGTGTGAAATTGTTGACGCGACTCGGACAGGAAATCAATGATTATCAATCCTTCATAATCACTTATTATTGGTTTAGCATGTATTTTCAGTCATACATATCATCCCTGGCACTGTGATGTTTTGATAAATATGATTTCGACTGCACCATACTTGGCAGAGGTATCGAGATTTTTTAAACCTGAAAAAACGTAAAATTAATGGTAATTTCACGCGTAGCGGCGCGCATTAGAATGTTTACATCTTTCTACGCGCATTTTCGTTGAAAAAATTAACATTTTTTGCATTGAGGGGGGCGTGTGGACTAATAATTAGAGGTGTGACGTCATTAAAATTGCCAATTGAACCCTTGAAATTGAAAATTCTATAAATACAATCGTGGATTTTAGAGTAACCATTCTTGCTATAATAGTGATTCTGGTGTTGTTCTGTTGGAAAATAACTCAAGAAAACGTTGAAATAAACATTAATTAATTAGGAATAATTATTAACCCTCTACTAGACACAAAATCTCGCAAGTTCAATAGAAATTTCGGAATTTTGGCGTAAAAATGTTTTTTTTTTAGATGAGTGCGTTTTACATATATTGCCTAATAGAGCTCTATCACACGCTAATATAAAGCCACGAGTGAAGCTTTAGGGCCTAATGGTTGACAAACAAATAATCAAAGTAAAATGGCACCAGAACGACCGGCTGGGGAGGGTTTTAAAATGCGCTGTTCGAAAAAAATGGTGCTCCAGAAGTATGTGTACCAATATGAAGGTAACTAATTTTGTTCGCCTACTTTATATCAAGTTGTGTAAATGGACTAAATTCTATCGGTAGGGGGATATTCACTTGTGTAACACAGACAATTCCCGAACTTTTAATATAACAAAAATAAGGAGAATCGTAACCTAACCTGGTACACATACTACGAGTACCGAAAAAACAGCCCACATAGTAAAAGCAGTTATGGAAATACTTTACATTACAGAAAAATTAATTCACATAGTAAATAGCAGACGAAGGAAATATTTTGCATTGCAGAAAAAATAGCTCACATAGTTAATAGCAGTCATGAAATATTTCTCACTATTGATTACAAAAGTATAATTGCATCCAAATCAACAGTATCTATATGACTATATAAAGGATCGTTAAAATTAAATAATATGCAAGAATCATATTGATAACAAAATGTATTCTAATCAATTTTAATATCTAAAACAAAATCTTCATAAATATTTTTTGTAAATTCACAATACATGAAAATATGTGAAACAAACTCAGGTTCTCCATTACATAATACACACATTTCATTCCCTGCTATTTTTCCAATTTCTGGCTTTTGTTTTCAATGGCAAGATATCCCAGAGTAATTTATAGTTAAAATCAGTATTTTTAATAAGTAAACGAATAGCTCGCAGAGTCATGTGATTCATATGGAGCACAGAGCTATGATTGAGAAAGGCCGTGGTTTGCCATATATTTAGGCCTTCTTCTCCCCTTGGATAAATATGTAAATCCCATGTTATATCAATTAATAAATACATAAATAACCGCACTCCTCTCGGCGACTGGTTCATATTCTGTTCTGTAGATACGTTTTCTGTCTAATAGATATGCATTCCCAATAAGCATATGCTCATAGTTGTATGCTTTCAGCGTACCATACTTCGAAACCCAAAATCAAATATGTATTGAAGAATTAAAGACCTCAAGTCAAGTTAATACGGCCAATTTCGCACCCTACTCGGCTGAAGCCAGGGATTTTGGCAGCGAGCAATGCGTTTTCTTAATATGCAGCGAACCATTTAGCTGGACGACGTAAAAAATGCAGGGAACAATGCCACAATGAGCAAATCTTTGCAAGTTTCCACTCATTGTATATATGCTCATTGTTCTGCCAAATGAAGAATTTCCATTCAAAAAACAAAAAAGGCGTAACTTGACTTTCTCATTACGACTGTATTTATTTGCGACCTAATTTGGCCGAATATTTACTGTTTTAATAAATTGTTTAAATCTTGAAAACCTGTCGTGGTTTCATGCTTCCTTTGGGTGGTTATAGTACGTTTCCAGGCTTGCAAGAAGGTTGATCTTCTTATCGATTTGGGTGGGGTTGTTAGGGTGGAAATGTTAAACACCTACCCAAAGGGTGGAAGAAGTAGAAAACCTTGTGAACCAAATATTTCGGTGGGAATTCCCACTTTTTTTCATTTAGAGTGTACGGTAGTTTTCGATCAAATTTATTAATCATGAATTAATCTTTTTATCTTATCTCATCAAATTGTGGAAGATAAAGATGAATTCCTCTAGTTTAGAATTGCATTTAGAGTGTTAAAACATTTGCATCATGTCTTCATTGTATAATTTGCAACTTAAATATAGCACAACATAATTACGATTTACGATAACAATGAAACTGAGAAAGCCACGGCATAACGCCTAAAATTGCATAAAAAATGACTCCTGTAGTTTTCTTATTTATTCTAGAATATAGTAGTTGTACTAAATAGTATACTGCAGTGTTATAATTCCCATTAAATGAATTTCTGTTCAGGGTTATAACTCAATATTGAAAAATCTCGTCAGTTCAAACTTTCCATCAACTCCGGATGTTCAACAATTTTAGAAGGATAAAGTTGTACAATGATTCCTTTCTCAATGAGCTTGTTCCACATTGAACTAATTTGATGAATAGTTGGATTTAGGGTTGGAAATGCCGACCAGACAACCCATTCACCTGAAAAGATATTGAGATTCGATATAAATCGCTCCAGAAATCTACAGATATGCAATTGGTTGATGTCACATTTTTGAAAAATTTGTAGTCTTATGTTGCTTTATTCCCTATTCCCCACCTTACATGCAATGTGTAACTACCTTCACTAGTGAGTAGACATTCCTTGTGAATGAACACCCTCGACTGGTTTTAAGTGATCAATTTTCATTACTCACTGAATATATTATTTACTCTTGAGTGAGTCTAATTCCTTTTATTGTGTGTTCTATCAATGCTGCTGAGAATAAATTGTCATTGAAACTAAATGAGAAGTGGCCTAAAATACCTGAAAGACTGCAGAATGCATGGACTAAATAATTCTTTTTGTCGTATAGAACCAGAATATCACCATTGAACAAGGCATCATCTGAATATTAAAATGTTTTAACTATTGTTAAATGTATTCACCGTAACCATTTTAATCTGTAAATTCAATTATACATTACCTATTTTTTTAGCATTATTATTTGTTCCTCCGTCTTGTGTTAGAGTGTGTGAAGCCAAAACAGCTGGTTCTGTATCAAAATATTGAATTTCTTATTTATTATATTTCATTTTAACTATATAGTCATATCCAAAAATAATACTTTCGCTCTTCATCCCATAATAAACGCCGTCAATTCGTTTGGTCCGATCAATTGTAAAGATTTGGGGAGGAGAACTGAAATAAATGAAAAATGTTTTTTTTTACAAACAATGTTTTTAAAATTACATATCTTCTGTTTTTGAATGTATCTCTGATTTGGAGACTGAGTAGTTTGATCTGTCCATTCAAATGTAACAGAATTCGCTTATATACTTTAGTTTGAATATTGCAGTGTTTTAGTCATTTTTTCAGTTTTTTTTTCAACTTTATTTGAAATAAATTATAAACTTACTTCTCATGTAAATTAGTAACCACCATTTGCATTCCTTCATTTGTATTGGAGAAGTTCTGTAGTTTTGCACCTATAACATCTTCATTCATGACCTCATCGTTGGTGTGTAGCACCAGATACCAGTCATTCTTAACCTGCACACAACAATATGGTTTGTAATTTCTACTGAATAATTTCATTATGCAAGGAGAGTTTTACTAAATCTCAACTGTTAACACCTGTGACACATTTGAAAAGTTGAGTGAAGTGAAGAGGTTGAAATCTCCAGATGTATTATTGTGAGATAATGTATCTGAAGTCCTAATGCTGTCTTAATCAAACTTTTGGAGAAAAGTGTAAGCGGAAAACGGCACATCTTTTATATATATATTAAAAACTGACTGGAAGTAAAGGTTTTACAATTTAAATATATACATACCTTATCCCAGTCAATGTCCTCATTGTTCTCTGGAATTTTACATTCTTTTGCCAGGTTAATCTCAATGCTTATAACAAGCATCAAAAGTGAAATACACAATATGTTTTTCAAGGTCAGCATTTTATTTTAAAGCAGCAAATCTTAAGTTTGAAAAAACACAAAATTAAGTCTTTTATAACCCGGGAAACTTTCTAGAGTTTAGTGAGTTATCCAAACTTACAGAAATCTGTGACATTTCAGAATTATATAATGATAGTTGCAGCGAAAAGTCTATAGATACTGAAGCAATAATATTTCAATCGGAAGAGCGCAATTGACATCCTCACCTATCCAAGTCATAGTACAGACTGTTCGTTACAGGCTTTGCATTCTGTACATATATTTGTGCGCTTGATGATGTTATATATTCTAAACAAGGCTGCGGGAAATGCGTAATTTTTTTGTTTATACTGTCTGGGAATGTAGAACATGCATCGTTTCATGGAAGAGGAGGCAAAAGGGGATCAATAGATTCACATTTTCAAGAACATGTTCTCCATCCAATCTTTTTTTCTGTACAAATATGTAAATTCTATCATATCCTAATTTTTGATGTTTCATCATTGGAGTGCTATTTACACACACCTATACAGTAACAAATATAGGCTGTAATGGACATATACACTCTAATGCAGTGGTCGGCAACCACCGGGCCGCGGCCCATCGCCGGTCCGCGGAAAGGTCACTGCCGGTCCGCAGAGAGGTGACACAAAAACGAACAAGGCCGTAATATAACCTCTACAATGTAACCATAAACACTACGACTAAAAACAGCACCCAACAATAAACCAGACAAACACCAGGGGTCGGCAAACTGCGGGCCAAATGCGACCCGCGTACTAATTTGTTGCGGCCCTCGAACGACCCGACATTTAATACATAAAACAAAAATTGATCCCAAATTTATTATGGTCTCTACACGGATTTATGTGGTGACAAGTGCTGCTGTACGGCGCTTGGTATGTTACAAGTAGCGTCAGTTGTATGTCGTTCGAGTTAATTTTAATTTTTAAAATTTGAAAATGAGGGTCGAGCATTTCAAAGTGCTTGAACGGTTAAATATTTTTCTTTCTTGCGCATTCCAAAACCGGTTTGCTCTATATGCCCAGTCAGCATCGCAGTTGTTAAGGGTTTCAATGTTAAACTCGTTACGAAACGAGTCGTCGAAAACCCGGGACTAGGTAATCTGTGCGACAGTGCGAAACGTGTAATTTGCACGTTCGGAAGAACATATGGCCTTGAGCAGCTTTATCTGAAATGTATTCCACTTAGATTAAATATCGTACTCGCTTGTCAGATCATCATTTGGACGACAAGTTGTTATAAAAACATCATCTTTTACATTGATATTAAGTAAATAAAAACAATGTATTGTTGGATAATATATTGAAAAAAACGACACATACACATCTCATTGGGACAGGCTTTCAACAGAGCAAGGGCAGTAATGCGAATGCGTCAGAATTTGAAGTTTAATTAATGTAATATTGCGGCGCGCGCGCTACCGGTAATGTATATATTTGGTCCGCAAGTACATGAAGTTTGCTGATCACTGCACAACACTATTGAGCAGTATGTCTGACTTTATAAACAAATGCCATGTCAGTATGTCGCAATATTGCTGGGTAAATTGTTTTCTCTACGCCCATATAAGAATGTCTCTCATCAGTCCGAATAAGATCTCCCCAACAAAATGATACAGGCATTGTTAACTTTCTCGAAATCTTACTAATGTGAGACCTGGTTTTCAATATTGATTACTACAAAAACGAAATATCGAAGTGTAAGAAACCCGTTTCGTGTGTCAATGTCGACCCTATCTCGAATATGGAAACAGTTGATAGTCATCAAACAAATACAGATATCGGATTAAATAGCATCACCGTCGTTTTTAGTATATTGTCAACAATCAACATAAATTTCCTGATGCGTATAACTTATTGCATAGGCTTTTGTTCAGACTTTACCGGTCCGTCACTTGAAAAAAAGTTGCCGACCACTGCTCTAATGTACTGTGATATCCACCCCCAAAAACACCAAACCACTTTATTTTTATTTAAATTTATTAACAATGAACTGATTTTTTTTTATCTTATCATCAAATTTCGAAGGATAAGGATGAATTCCTCTAGTTCAAAATTCCAAACAAGAGCGTTGAAACATTTGTATCATGTCTTCATTGTATAATTTTCAACTTAATTCCAAATCGCTAGTCACATGTGTGAAATTGTTGACGCGACTCGGACAGGAAATCAATGATTATCAATCCTTCATAATCACTTATTATTGGTTTAGCATGTATTTTCAGTCATACATATCATCCCTGGCACTGTGATGTTGTGATAAATATGATTTCGACTGCACCATACTTGGCAGAGGTATCGAGATTTTTTAAACCTGAAAAAACGTAAAATTAATGGTAATTTTCACGCGTAGCGGCGCGCATTAGGATGTTTACATCTTTCTACGCGCATTTTCGTTGAAAAAATTAACATTTTTTGCATTGAGGGGGGCGTGTGGACTAATAATTAGAGGTGTGACGTCATCAAAATTGCCAATTGAAGCCTTGAACTTGAAAATTCTGTAAATACAATCGTGGATTTTAGAGTAACCATTCTTGCTATAATAGTGATTCTGGTGTTGTTCTGTTGGAAAATAACTCAAGAAAACGTTGAAATAAACATTAATTAATTAGGAATAATTATTAACCCTCTACTAGACACAAAATCTCGCAAGTTCAATAGAAATTTCGGAATTTTGGCGTAAAAATGTTTTTTTTTAGATGAGTGCGTTTTACATATATTGCTTTAATAGAGCTCTATCACACGCTAATATAAAGCCACGAGTGAAGCTTTAGGGTGAAGAGTGAAGCTAATGGTTGACAAACAAATAATCAAAGTAAAATGGCACCAGAACGACCGGCTGGGGAGGGTTTTAAAATGCGCTGTTCGATTTTTAATTACGGGAATACTTTTTATGACATCGTGGCGGCAGTCCACTGCGGCAGATTGCCTCTACACGTGCTACGGCGTTTTGTACTTTGTGTGGATATGTTTGAGCATTGCTCTCTTGTGATAATTTATTTTCATGTTAATGACTTGCAAATTTTAAATGAGTATTTTTATCAAATGCATTATATATCAAGTAATTTTATGATATCTGCTTATATTATTTAATTGGAAATGTTGTTTTACATAGACATTCACGATACACGATAAAATACCTCCATGTAAACACCACGGTAAGAAACATCAAAAATCCACCAATTCCTATTATCTCTGTGCAAATATATCAAGATATAAACATACGATTATAAACCCTGAAAAAAAAAATCCAACAATATAACTCGTACCCATTAAGATGAAATTAAAACGACAAAATACCTTCATTCCGATTATAAAGACGCACTATTCCGCAACAATAATAAACATACTATCAAACATTCTGTAAACACCAACATAAACAACTTCTTAAAAATCAGTAATCTTTATCTCCGAAAATACATGCGAAAGCTCGAATATACGACCATGTGCACTGAAAATCCCATACCCCAATATCAAAAATTAGTGTATTGATTCTACATAGATACCAAAAAGCTGAAATATAAACGATGATTTTCACACAGATAAACAACAGTCATATTTGACTATCAAAAAATTAGAGTAATCTAATACACCGATTCTAATTTCTAATGGCTAAAAATGTCTGAAACCCAGTGATTTCCAGCGATCATGTAGTATGAACGATTAAATAATTTTAATCTCTCATTGCCGACCATTGAATATCCTTCACATTTTGCAAATTATGGCCGTATAAAGATTTTCATATTCAGTTAATATAATACTACCATAAAGACCCACTCCCAATTTTTTTACTCCTTTGTTAAAAGTCTACATCCATTTTACAAAGCAAAAATGTAAAATCATAACTCGAACTCAAATGCCAACATGTCCATTGATTTGATTGTCGAGTTATGTTTTTCAAAACCCAAATGCGCAGCGCAAATACTTGCAATTTTTCTGCCACGGCGAGTAAGCAATTCGTTTGCTTATAACAGACATCAGAAAAATTAAGGTTAATCTTGACGACAAATTACTTCTGATAAAAAACAATCTGAATCGTTTCACTTGCACTAATCCCTATTAGACAAACAATCCAAATTCTTTCGTACGCGAATGGTTACAAGCTCTATCAGCTATCCAATTAATTACCGGTGACGCTAAAGTACAAACAATCGCAAATCTTCTCTTTAGCGGTTTCAAAGATTGAACGATAAGCAAACAAACTTTTTCTCTTACGTTCATTTCAAACTTCTTTATCCTGACAGCTCCTCGGCCAAGACAGCAATAAAAATAAACTAACTGACCACTGCCGAGTTTGGACCCATCGGACCGGAGCCATAGGGCTGGACCCATCGGGCAGAACCCATTGGACCCAGCGCTTCTGGAGCACATGATCCACTACTGACAATGGACACCATTTTGTGCCATTTGCTATCGGTCATCTAGCAAGACGTCTTATGGGAATCTTGTACAAACTACTGAAACAAACTTATTATTTTCACTAATAATTTAAAAAGCGTTTATAAGGAGAATTCAATCCGAACACGATGATATCATATGTTTGCCAAATCACATTTATAGCGCATTAAATTGTCTTTGAAGTCAACTATTTCAATGGGGAGTTGTATCCGAGGTAAGTTTGGTCGTCATACTTTTTAACCATATGACAATGGCATTCCTTATTATGTTGCAAATGAGCAGTGGTCTTTCGATAAAATTAACCGGTCGACCGACTCGAATCAACAGTGCCAGAAGACCAAATGACATTGCACGATTGTTGCGGCGGCATATTATAGGGTCAACTCGGTATATCGCTACAAAGTTCATGAAAAAATGATAAAAAATAATGCAGCTTTAAGTTTGTGGCCAAATTGAACGCGAAGGATGATAGTTCTAAATTATATATATATTATATTTAAATACACATACTGGCTTCATTCCAGTCTCTATTACCATGTTTCCCAACCCGAGTCCGCGATCTCAAATGAGTCCGCAGAGCGTTTGAATGAGGCCTCAACGAGCAATAGCGTTTTAGAAAGTTAGGTAATAGTATATTTCATGTAGGTGTCTAACCTTTTTAGTATCGCGAAATTCATTGCGGGGCAAAAACGTTTTTACCAGACTTAAGTACCAGCCAAGTTACGATTTACGTTAGTATTTACATAAAACATAAAAGGCAAGTTTATTCACATAAAATTAATCGAGTCAACAATTACCGAGGAGGGCTGATTGAAATATTCGAACAGCAAACTATTAGAATACCTGGTAACATGAGACTTAGACAATCGCACTGAATCAAACGATTGGATTGCAACGAACTTGCTGTTTGTGACAAAAACACAAGTTTACACGTACTTTTCGCCTACGTTAAAATTGAGTGTTATATTTGTGCTTTTTTTTATCTATTTGTTTCCTGCAACTCCATTGCTCTTATTGTGCGCCAATGTCGCATGAGTTCCCATCTTTTAAGTTGTCCATTTGGAAAAATTTGAAGCACCGATACAAATAACAAAAAAGTAACATTTCAAAGTTTTCCGAGCGGATATAATAATTTGAATATGAAATACCATAAAGTGAAGTCCATCAGATTTTAACGGATACGCAGTAACAACATTTCAGTGGTTTTGTTTTGAGGCAAAAATAACATAGACTGGGTAGATAAATACAAACAGAAAAAAGACGAATCCAGGAGCCAGCCATAAAGACTTGTTCGATGGAGTATTTTTTTCTACGGAAGCTAGCGTTCTTGAAATTTCAATCGAAGGGGAAACTCAATAACATTTACAGTCATTACTTCTTACAAGAATATAACGAAAATTTAAAGCCTACTATAGTATCTGTGAGCCAGTCAATTGCGTGAGCAAATTCAATGTACCATTGCAAGCATTGATAAAATTATCACTTGTATGTATTGGTTTTTTTTATCTCGGCGCGCTGTTTCGAAAAACACTGTACATATGCAACAATGTCTCATTGCCAACTTAAGAAAAAGGCCTTACCTGAATAACTTATGTGACCCAACCTAAAGTAAAAAGTATAGGAAATGTAAACACGTGTTGAAATAAACTTATTTTTAATGTTCGTATCATATAAATCACTTTTTAGTATTTCAAAAAAACAATTGGCCCAATATTCCGGTAATCTTGTTGTTGCACATATACCGGAAAATTATAATGGGAATAGTTAAACATAATCAATGGTAACACTTTTCACATAATTGTATATTTCACAATGGTGACTTTAGCCTTGCTCCCAACAATCAATCTCGAGCTCATAAAACAATAACATTTGACGTTCCAGCAACATTAAACCAAATAAAAAACAATAAATAAATAGATACGCACTGGCAGAGTGAATATTATTAAATCAACAGCTGCGTTCAAGTACCACGGTAAAGGCAATTTAACTTCTGTAAAGCCGAGTAGATTTCGAGAAATCAACTCAAATAACTATATAAAATACGATACTCCTGTCTCAAAATTTCATGATATCAGTGATGTATTAGTTTTGAATCAGTTTAGTTGTCGAACTGCTTGTCGAATCATTGATATACACTCTAATAAAGGTTTAGGTTACAAAAAAAAAAAATTGAAGAATGTTCGGAAACAAATCTTAATTTATTTTCAAAAATACAATCTAGGTCCTCTAGGATCGCCAAAAACAGGTCACGCAAATATTTGGCACTTCATTTGAACATATTCTTCAGCTTTTCTTATTTTCTACATTTTGGCGTCTGGGAAACAAATTATGTACCCTATTATCACGACGGTGTGCATTGATGAGTCCCTGTTTAAAGGGGATTAAATCTTTTCCTAAACAATTTTTTTTTGTTGCTACAAATGATTAAAACACGTCTGAGAAAAATATCAAAATACACTTATTCATTGATTGTTGGTAAACATGAACCTATTAGATTCGATTTATAAAGTCTATTTCAAATTAAAAACATAAAATAAAAGAGTCCCATAGTAAATATTGCTAGTCTAAAGTGTTTTGGTTGGTTATCTCTAAGGCTCAGACCAGAGATTATATGCTACTTCAGTGGCCAGATAAGCTGTATATTAGCTATTATATAACATTAACGTGTAATATTTACCCCTGTGTGGCGACTTGGTGTCATGTTTCAAATTTATTTTCTCCAGCAGTATATGGTCATAATTCTTTGTACAGCAATGAGTGTCAAAGCATGTATTAGATCTAAATATGAATACTTGATAAATAAATATATGTACAAAATTTTAATCCATTAAAATATGTAATTCGTTTCATATAAAAGGTTTCGCGTATGCCTTCAATTTCGTACAATGAGGCAAACTGCTTTACGCTGAAAATTGCTGCGAAACACGTGTTGATAACGTGATATCCATAGTAGTAACAGAAATAATAAGAATACTTTTTAAAACACTGTTGAGAGTAAGTGAATGGAACCTATATACTGATATCGATCCACATCATGAATGCAACAGATTACTAGCATCCACCAGCGGTACGCTTGTGAAACAAGAAATAGCAAAGCCAAATGAAAAAATAGTTTTACTTATTCGGGTAACCATGACCCGCTTCATTAGATCGGTTAACTTTGTATGCTTATCTAAATATTTTACAAATCTCGTCCCACCTTCAAATAAAAATTTAGCAGAGTTGAATTTAAATTTAAATTGGATTTCATATATGTGATTGCGATTTCGTTACGGGGGTCCATTCTTCAACCTTTTAGATTATGTTTTTTAATTAACTCCGCAATTATCGACCGACAAAATCTTGATTCTAGGGACCCCTCAAGTTTAATAATTCGCCACTTATTAAACATTATACCAAGAATAGCAAAAATTACAGCAGCGCCTTTATATATCTATTTTATTTATCAAAAAAACATGTGCTTACCCTAATGTTGCGTCAAAATAATCAACGACTACGTTGAATAGCCCAATATTTTACGAAATAGATAACCGTTCGCCATCACCCACCTCACTGACTGGTTGAGAAAATCGAAGCGCTTCTCCTCATTCCCGCCCAAACTGATTAGCGATATCACATAGTTAATTAACTGTAATTAAATTAGAAAACGGGCGAAGAAATTTGAGTAATTATCCGGGTTACGTACGCCCGGCGATATCATGCGTCCGTAGAGGTTTTGCGGTATACTCCATTTGATGAGAATTTTACATAATGTGCATTACTGTGTTTTTGGACGCTTATCGACAACGGATAATTCCCCGGTTGCGGTTATCCCATTATAATTTTGAAGGTTTTCGTGTTTGCTAATACACACTATGACATTCACATACTTTGGCATTCACTGTAAGGCGCTTGAAACGATATCCGACGTCTATGTATATGTATATATATCAATCACCAGGATCAATAAGGCTTTGAAAAAATAAAGAAAAGCTACTCGCGATAAATATCCTTGTGCCTAGAAAAATACGTATTATTATTACCGTTAGCACTATCTTCAAAATATCAATACAAAATAGAATTTTTGCTTGCGGCCCGTGAGGTTGTGCTAGATACAACTGCGGCTACATTACTCGTGCGCTTGGAACACCCTGGTTTTATACTATTGTTTTCACATACTATACATCATCGAATAATTGGACCGTATGTCGTGTTGTTCACTCTACCAGTACAGACATGACATGACGAAATTTCTTTTTTTCAGTTTCATGTTATGATTGAATATTCAATTGCCACATGCTACATGGAAATGTCCGTGTAACGTTTAATCAATTCATTAAAACATTGCTACAGTGAAAGTCGTTTAATGAGTTCAAATTTTTTTGTTGGATTCACTGTTACAATAGGTAATCCTAGAATACCGATATGACTGACGACTCAGCGCTCACAATTGTTGACTTTCAAAACTGCGGCCCAGAGAAATATGACAAATCAAAACAAAGTATGAAAGCTGCTAGTAGAAAAATATACGAAGCATTATCTACAAAAGGTTATGTTTGCATCCAAAACTGCGGAATTGGAAGGTAATATGGTTTTATTCCTGACAACTTACTAAACTATAAAGCCGTTGAAATGTTGCTAATCATACGTAAAAAGTATCTATGTGATATGGTATGGCTATAGTTTATGTCAGTCTAGGACTTAATGCTGATAATGACAATATCTAATTCTGTATGGTTCACTTTTTTTTTATTTCAGTTCAGAAATAACGGATATTTTTGAAAATGCAAGCACATTTTTCCGCCTGGATAACGATATAAAATTGAAGTATCGGATGGACCAGGACATCATTGGTTATGTACCGTTCGACGGCGACATGTAAGTTCACCCTAAATCATTCTCGTGTATATAAATTTAACCCACCACTGTATCACACTACGGCCACAATCGTGGTATAATTTAGCAATCATATAGAATTGAAATGATATTTGCAATATGTGCAACTCTGATAATAACATATCTATCTTTAATTATGCTACTTCCGAAAATTTTACTCGCTGAATTCCCAGAAACTAACCTATATCACATATATACAAAATATTTGCGATACTAATTAACAACAATGTGTTCCAAATTTTTTTATATAATTTTCATAAAATTGATTAGTTTGGATATATTTGATCTGACAACGCGACTGAAAAAGCATGATATTTGAATTGTTTTATTAAAATTGTATTCTCTTTTTTTCACAATAGGAAGTTTTCACACGTCCTTCCCAATGGGAAAGAAGCTCTATACGTTACCGGGGCAGGATTTGCTCTACCTAATATGAATTGGCCGTCTGACCAATACGTGCCAGATTTCTCCGAAAACATTAAAGAACTTGGAGAAAAACTGCGTAAACTGGCAAACTTGATGATGGATATTATTGCTGAAGAAATGCAATTGCAGGTGATTTAAGAGGACAAAAGTTTTAAAATTTGAATATTCATATCAATATCAAAATATTATCTATTTCAATTATTTAAAATACACTGTTTTACTCAAAATTATTTCATCAGGATCGGCAATATTTTAGAAAGCTGACTAGTCGAATGAATCAATCAGGAAACTACACAATGATTCGAATAAATCACTATCCGCCAGTTGATGATAATCAAAAACTACCACAGGGTACTTGTAGACTTGTTGAACACACTGATCTCACTTTTATTTCTTTTATATTTCGGAATACTCAAGGTGGCTTACAGGTATTTGAGGAGTATTAAATGTTTATTTGGAATTATTTGTTGACTGATACCAATTTAATAATCTAATCAAGATATATATCCTTAAATATTATGTTTCTTTCAATTTTCGTAGTTTAGTACCATTTTTGTGAATTTTGAATGTAATTTTAGATGCTTGACAAAAATGAAGAATATATTGACATCCCATTCGTTCCGAATAGTATGCTTATTATTACTGGTGATTTAATACAAAAATGTACAGGAGGAAAGATACCTGCAATTGTAAGTAGCGTGTAAGATTCTAATATGTAGGAATATTCGATAGTAATTGGAAGTGGTAAAGAGTTTCGTCACTCAGTTTTTGTTCAGTATTCCATGATTTATGTTTTCATGTAAACGTCATGAAGACATCGCATTCCGACACACATACCGATCCTAAGAAGATCAGGATTGTAAAGAGTTGTTAAATCACTCTGAAAACACTATCCTATACACATGCTTATTTCACTTTGCCGTACGCACTTGGCGAATTTTGTTCGACTTTTTTAACTATGTGACGTTATAAATCCACATCAACAAGTAAAAGATCGTAATGTAAGAATTGACAAAATTGAAATTTCTAGAAACATCGAGTTGTCGTGTCAGACAACCTAGATATGAGAAAAGACAGAATTTCGATGAATTACTTCGTACGTGCAGACAACGAGGTTCCCGTTGAGGATATCGAAATCGGGTCAACCGATTTGGGATCCAGCAATTACCGCTGGACGGCGGGCGCAAAAACCATGGGAGAAATTATTCGGAACGAAGCCAAATGGAGCTACGGAGTAAAGGCTACATAGATATAGGATTGTAGAATCCACATTTGATAGCATTGATTGTATATTTGGAGTAATCAATTTTTATTATGTAACATGCATTGCATATTTCACGTTGTGTATAAATTGTATTTGCAAAAGCTGGCTATTTAGCTTTCTTCCAATATATTATATTATTATACTGATTTTTCATGACTTCTGGACAGCCGTGTTGAATGTATTGAGAAATTTTGACGACGTTTGTCATACAAGTGAATAAATACCCAGTATAAATAAATAGTAATCTGTACCATAAGTCCATAACTCAGCTCAGGGGTGTGCTACTTTTAATAGAGGAGGTCCAGATACACATAACTGGTTAAAACCGAAGGGCGCATCTTTATTCAACACAGGCTTTCCCGTAGTTGCAGGTCTGTAATAGCATATCCAACCTGTCAGTACTCGTGCCTGAAAAATTTCGCCGTAGGAAATCTCGCCGCAGGAAATATCGTCGCATAGGAAAATTCGCCGCAAGAGCATTTTGCTGTAAAACAAGTATTTGTGATAAAAACAGTTAGGTTTGTAGAGTTAGGGTATGCTCTTAAATAACAAATCTTTTTTAAATAAAAAGGTACTTCAAAAACCTAACTGTTTTTGGACACGTTTGGTGCCCTTAACGATCGTTTCATAATTTTGTTGTTATTGTTATTTGTCTCCGTCTCCATTTTAAAAAAATCGCTTTTCTCTTCGAATACAGGACCAATTGCTTTGATATTTTCAGTGGTTAAAGATAAAATTTTTCTCCAGAAGGCTATTACTTTTATTTTTTGCTATGACGACATCAAAATTATTTCCACTGGGTGGCGCTACGTGTCCATATATTTGAGCATAGCTCTCTTGTTTTCACAAATACTTGTTTTACAGCAAAATGTTCTTGCGGCGATTTTTTATGCGACGAAATTTCCAGCGCGAATTTTCCTAGGACCGTCAGTTGTTGAATCATGTTTCTTGTGGTTAGACCAAGGTTACCAAAATATAACCATTTTCTTTTTTATTTCTCGCATGAACATAGGGTTATTTGAAACCAGTTTCTTCCATTTTTATACTTCATTATTCGCCAGACTGAGCATTATACGTCATTCAGACCTTTATATAACGTAGCAATTCGGTTATTGATTACCGTCAAGAAGTCTTTAAAATAGTTCAGATTGTGAAAATTTTCAGTGGAGTATATAATAGACAGTGTCATGAGTACCATAATACAAGTTTGATACAGTTTTGTGTTTGGTATATGTTTCATAATGTCGTCACCATCGAAACCGGCCTTTTTTTCTTTATCAATCATCATTTTATTTTTGAAACGCAAAATACATTTCACAAAAAAGTTCAATCATAATAATGATAAACATGGAATTAGGCTTGCAGTCAAAGTCTAAAATACAAGCATACGTGTCGTTAAGTCATTTATTTTAAATATTCCGCGATATTCGAATTTTAGGCTGTTGGAATAGAAGTAACACATACAGATGCAATAGTTATACAATAAAACGGTATGCCAAGTTTGCGTTAATTCTATTTTATTTTTATATAAAAATATCAAAATAGACAAAAACATGATATTTATTTATTTACAAGATGCTGTTAACTAATTCGGTATCCAATTTGGCAATCCGTACGAAATTATTAATATTTTTTTGTAACTCGTTTGTATATTTTTTCCATGATTTTTTTTTTAATCTTTTTATGTCCTCGTGATTGTATGTATGTGTGTGTGCGTGTGTTTAATTAATTTAATACTTTTGGGTGAGTGAACACGTACCAACCACTTCTTTTGACAACGCCTTTCAATCTGAAATCTGTACGTTATAAACTTTACTTAAGGTTTTGTTTGCTTTCCTGCTTATAATCAGTTTTATATATATATTCTGTTTTTTTTTTATCAATTATTCCATTGTCTAATATGCTGAGCATGGAGTCGAAATGATCTTATACTTCTTGAAAAAAGCTTCCAACTTTCGCTAATCACGAGATTCGCTGGTATGCCGTCGCGTAGATGATATAACTAATTTTCAATTTTGTTGACGTCGCCACACAAAACGTCGAAGTGAAAAACAAATCTCATGAAGCCCACAGAAATTTTTGAAATGAACATTTTCGTATTAAGTTTTGAACCTCCGGCCAAGTAACCAAGTCTGTTATCTGTAACTGACCCACTTCAAACATGAATTGTATCCTATAGTAAATGATTGTCTGCGACATCTGTCGCAACGCTGTCTGTTTAAGAGAGAAAAATTAACACACCAATGCCACCAATTATGACCTCCGACTATCACGAAGAATTATTGACAATCATACTAAATAAATTAGATTGTTTAATTAACTTTAGAATAAGTATTTTTTTTAATGTTAAAATTTTACTCAACGTTAATAATGCACTTGAAACGATATACCTTATTTTATTTTCAGTGGTTAAATGTTATTCAAGTATTTTTCGCTATAAGGCTATACTTTAACCTTTTTTTTTAATTTCTGTGGACCCTATGTGGTTTGTTTTTCCCTCGAAATTTTGAGTAATGACTTATTGGAAATTGAATATTTGTAGCGGTTCTTCGACCTCTCTGGTGCTACGCGAAAGTTTTTTGACAGTGCTGGTCAGGTAGACTACTGCTTCGCTTGTTTCGAAGGATAGTCCTTTAATTGGGACCTTCTGTCCTTTATTGAAATTTGAAAAGGCGCTAATTAACCTATATTTGCATCGCTTTTACTATAAGACCTATTAACAGTAAAATGTAATAGCCAAGCTGATTGCAGTTAAAGTATTCCAATGCCAAATTGCCCTGTCAGAATAGTCAAGTTGGAACGATACCCGTACTAAACATATTTAATATTACATTTTTGACTCGGATTATTTCGTATTTCAATTCATGTTGAATCTGGAAGCATGAATCTTCATCGACACAAGACATGGAAAAGCTAGGACAGTCCGGGTACCGGTACCCTGATACAAGTATCCGTAAGTTACCTACCGTGGCTGTTCCGTAGTTCCAGTTTTGTTCAGGATATATATGACTTTTGGGGAATTGTTGGTAAAACAAATTCGTTTCCATATATATATTTGATCAATGTTTCTCGGCCCGCGGGCCGCAATTTTTCCACCCCTGCTCTACATCGTTTCGGATACCATCTCTGGAAGATATCGATCTTTAGATCGGTAAATATGTTGATAGGTATTTGTCTGTTAGATGCACGCGATATCTCACGATGGCGTGGTTGCTCCAAATTTTGCATGTGCATTTGTCATATCTCGGACCAGAAGCCTATTGATATTGAATGAATTATGTCGTATATTTAGCGAGTTAATAATTAATTAGTGATGGGACACGCGGTGTTACTATAGAGTCATAAATCAAAACCGCAGTTCGATCGATAAGTCTTTGGTCTCCGACCGATATTCTCGTTTGATATATCCCCGAACAACTTTTATTACTTATCGATTTTAATCGGTAAGTATGTTGATAGGTATTTGTCTGTATGTCTGTTAGATGCACGCGATAACTCACGAAAGCAAGATTGAATTTGCTCCAGATTTTGCATGTGTATTCATCTTATCTCGGACCAGAAGCCTATTGAATTTGGGCGAATTATGTCGTATGAAATAATAAAGTTAATAATTAATTAGTGATGAGACACAAGGTGTCACTATGGAGTAAGAGCGCTGTTTTGGAGGATCCCCTAACTTTCGATCGATAAGTCTTCGGTCTCTGACCGATATTCTCGTTTGGTATTTGGCCAGTTCTTTTTCCCGATTTTCCGTTCCGGTATTTTTTTCTGTTCCAAGGCGCCACATTGCGTATTCTAAAATCCGTCATATCAATCTTTTACACCTACTTACAATGCCGCCATATAGCTAACACCATCAACAAATTGCTCACCAGCTCAGCTTCAGGTACCCTTCTCACTCTTCCTACCTCACCTTTCCCGTCATGTCTATCTCAACCTGCTAACCATATTTGATTTCCCCTTGTCCAATTGCTCGTAATTTTAAGAAAGATAATGTAGTAGGATTAGTACGAACGATCATTCATTACATGCTTTTCTTCTTGATGAACAGATTTAATTTACTCCGTACAGAATCCAACTTAAACCTTGTTGACCTGGCTTGTTATAGCCGGCATGCAAGAATTGCAATAAAAGGATCTTTGGAGATTTTGGTTTTCACTAATAATGACCGCGATTTTCCTTGACGTCCATTGCAACTTTACAATTCCCTTATATATGAAGATCACTTCCAAATACTGTTCCATATCGCTGTGGATTGTATATAATACCAGTGTATTTGGCGTATGTTTGCGCTTTACATCTCCTAGGAGTTAGGCAACTTGTATATTAGTATTAGTTATTTTAAAAAATATTGAGGTATTTATTTATTTAGGTAAACGATACCACGCTATGTTTTATACATTTATTCAGCGCAGGTTCACAACCTCAAGCAAGTTCAAATGACACAAAGGCTTCTGATAACGCAAGCCAGGCGTGGAGGACAGAATTCCATAAAAAAATTACAATATCTATTTTACTAGCTCATACTGTAAGATATATACCTTAAAGCAGCATCTTGTAAATAAAATAAGATTGTAGGTAATAACTGATGCTATCACTTAACTATGATATGAAGTGTAATTGTGTGATTCAATATGCGGTAACTCCAGAAATACTCAAAAGGCCCGATCTTAATTGGACCACCCAACCTTTGTTGCTTTGACTTTACTGCAGTGATGGGCATTAGTGGGTCAGTCTATTCCAGCAGTAACCACCATTTAATGTATTTAAATGGCCGTCACTCCAAATAGTAATTAAATCAATAAAAACAAACACGAAAAATAGAACTTACAAATAACAAAATTCCAGAGGTGATTGACAGAGGTGCTGCGCTCACTAAAACACAAAAGAGAGAGCAACCTGTGGAGAACTCACTGATGCCAGATTGTTGATCGGAATAGACAGCCAAGTTGTCTCAATTAAATATATTTGGGACTCGTGTGTTATAAAGCACGGGAATAATACATGCAATTAGTTATTAGAATCAAATTTTGGATAATAAATCAATGCATGTAGCCGAATATGAATCTACTGCGCCTATAAACTTAAATGATTATCGGAAGACTGGCACGACTACTGAAAATAGACATAACGAAAGACTTGTCTAGGACAGGACTTAAAAATAGAACATTGTCTTCAATTTTCTTTCAAAAAATTACAATAAAGCTTATTTTGGGGGGATGTCTTTATTTTCAAAAACAAAATTACAAAGTAGAGAATTAAAAGATTTTGAAATATATATACAGTATCAGAATATGTACACCCATTTCCTTTTACTTATAAATAACATGTTTTTAGTTAAAATAACTGCTAAACATCAATTGATAAACACCTAAAAACTGAGTAGGAACGATTTCTTGCTATCGACTAGGTCAAAAACATTTATGCACTATTCATTTAATTAAATCCCCAATAAGACATGATTCAAAATAGTAGCGATGATTGCATAACTTTGGCTTAACAACAAGAAAAGAAACACGACTCAAATATACATAGTTTCCTACTGTCAGGTTAGATATGCTATTCTAGACAAGAAAAACTCCAGTTCTGTAGAATTACCTGGAGACTCAATTTTCAGATGTTAGATTTATGACTGCACATTCGTCAGACATACAAAACCAATCCTCATGAAATAGCTCACATTGGTATTTATATGTTTATCTTATTATTTGTGTGTTAAAATAAACAAAAATCAAACACCGCCATTGTTAATCTTGAGCTAATCGATATTACCTTTTTTCTACACTGGTAAAATTATGATCTGATTAACTAATATTCCCTACACTCGTTCTCAATAATTTCTCCCATCGTTTTTGCGCCGGATGTCCAACGATAATTGCTGGATCCCAAATCGGTTGACCCGATTTCAATATCCTTAACGGGAACCTCGTTGTCTGCACGTACGAAGTAATTCATCGAAATTCTGTCTCTTCTCATATCAGGGTTGTCTGACACGACAACTCGATGTTTCTAGAAATTTTAATTTTGTCAATTCTTACACCACGATCTTGTAGTTTTTGGTTATATATAGTTGAAGGTTACGTAGTTGAAAAGATAAAAAAAATCGTTCAGTGCATATGTCAAAGTTTAATAAACATGTGTCGGAATGTCGCAATGTGCGATGTATTACATGACGTTTGCATAAAACATAAATCATGGAATACTGAGAAAAAAACAAGTGACTGAACTCTTTTACACTTCCAGTTACTATAGGATATTCATTCATACGTCTAAGACACTACTTACAATTGCAGGTATCTTTCCTTCTGTACATTTTTGCATTAAATCACCAGTAATCATAAGCATACTATTCGGAACAAAAGGGATGTCAATATATTCTTCATTTTTGTCAAGCATCTAAAATTACATTCAAAATTTACCAAAACGCTACCAAACTACGAAAATTGCAAGAATCATATTATTGAGTATCTACATTTTGACTAGTTTATTAAATTGGTATCAGTCAATAACTAAATTCAAAAAAAAAACATTTAATACTTCTGAAATACCTGTAAGCCACCTTGAGTATTCCGAAATATAAAAGAAATATAAGTTAGATCGGTGTGTTCAACAAGTCTACAAGTACCCTGTGGTAGTTTTTGATTATCATCAACTGGCGGATAGTGATTTATCCGAATCATTGTGTAGTTTCCTGATTGATTCATTCGACTAGTCAGCTTTCTAAAATATTGCCGATCCTGATAAGATAATTTTTTGTAACAAAGTGTATTCCAAATATTTTTTTATTTCCAATATTGATATAAATTTTCAAATTTGATATTTTGTCCTTTTAAACTCACCTGCAATTGCATTTCTTCCGCAATAATATCCATCATCAAGTTTGCCAGTTTACGCAGTTTTTCGCCAAGTTCTTTGATATTTTTGGTAAACTCTGGCACGTATTGGTCGGACGGCCAATTTATATTAGGTAGAACGAATCCTGCCCCCGTAACGTATAGCGCTTCTCTTCCGCTAGGAAGGACGTGTGAAAACTTCCTAATGTGTGAAAAAAAGAAAATACAATTTCAATAGAAGAACAATTCAACTATCATCCTCTTTTATGTGACTTGTCAGATTAAATATATCCAAACTAATCAATTTTTTTAAAAATTATGAAAAAAAAAGGTGAAGCACTTTGTTGTAAATTAGTATCGCAAATCATTTTGTGTGAAATTTGGGTTAGTTTCTGGGAATTCAACGGATGACATTTTTCCGGAAGTATCATAATTAAAGATAAACATGTTGTTGTCATAGAGACATAGATGCACATAATTCAAACATCATTTCTATTCTATATAGTTGCTAAATTATGCCACGGTGGTGGTAGTGTAGTACGTTGTAGTGAAATTTTAAATACACGAGAATGTTTTAGCACTAACTTACATGTCGCCGTCGAATGGTAAATAACCAATGATGTCTTGATCTACTCGATACTTCAATTTTATATCGTTATCCAGGCGGAAAAATATGCTTGCATTTTCAAAAATATTCATTATTTCTGAACTGAAATTTGAAAAAAAAAGAACGATGAAAGATTAGATTTGGTTAGTATCAGTATCAAGTTCTAGAGCGAAACAAGTTCTGACATAAAATATGTCCATACCATGTCACATAGATACTTTTTACTTGTCAGCAGCAACATATTCTAACGACTTTATAGTTTAGTAAATTGTCAGGAATAAAAACATATTACCTTTCAATTCCGCAGTTTTGAATGCAAACATAACCTTTTGTAGATAATGTTTCGTATATTTTTCTACTAGCAGCTTTCATACTTTGTTTTGATTTTTCATATTTCTCTGGGCCGCAGTTCAGGAAATCAACAATTGTGAGCGCGTCTTCAGTCATATCGGTATTAGGAGATTAACTATTGCAACAGTGAATCCAATAGAAGAATTTGAATTCCTCAAGCGACTTTCATTGTGGTAATGTTTAATGAATTGATTAAACGTTACACATACAATTGTAGGTAACATGTGACATATTTAATCATTACGTGAAATTAAAAAAAAAATGAAAAACTGAAGAATTCAAATTTTTTAGCGACCTTTACAGTAGTAATGTTTCAATAATAAATAAACCTTACACGAACAATTCCAGGTAACATGTGACAAATTTAATAGTTAATCATAACGAGAAATTTAAAAAAGAAATGTCGTATTTCGTCATGTCTGCACTGGTATGGAGTGAGCAACATCACACATGGTCCTATTATTCATACTGTACTCGTATAGTATGTGTATACAATAGTATAGAACCAGACTACCTCAATCATACGAGTGATGTATGTTGTTTTCAGCACAACCTCACAAGCCTGAAGGAAAATAAATTTGTTAAATTATAATTTGTTTCATTATTTTGAAGATAGTGCTAGCGTTAATATCAATACATATTGTTCTAATCCAGTATTTCGCAACCCGCGTCCGCGGTCCCAAATGAGTCCGCAGCGAGCCAGAAATTCACTTTGGGTCGCAAACGTTTTTACGAAACTTAACCATCAGCCAAGTTACGATTTACGTTAGAATTTACATAAAACATAAAAAGCGAGTTTATTCACATAACATTAATCGAGTCAATAATTACTAGATACCGAGTAGGGCTGGGCATATATTCGAATATTCAACTATTAGAATACCAATTTAATCTTCGAAAATTTGATAACAGGTGATGCGACAGGTCACTTGCGCATCGCTCAATCAAACGATTTGTTTCACATCTTACTTGCGGATTTCCGACGAAAACACGAGTCTGCGCACGCGTGGATAGATACCTAAGTAGTGTTTCTCGCGAGCCCAAGCAACGAGGAATAACTTTTTTCTGGTAGATGTTAATACTTAATGATGGCAACCCAAATTTTCTAACTTGAAAAGCAGCACTACAAAATACTAAAAATAAAACGGAGAACACCATAAGTTTTGTTTTATGATGGTCCGCGACCGATTAAAAACGCTTTTTCAGACATTGCAAATAGCAAAATTTCGGATGCCACCGTAGTATACGTATCAGGGCATTTACCCTCAGGATTCTTTTCCTTACTGGCTCCACGGGCACCACGGATTTTCATGGGGGTTTTGCTTAATTTCTTCAACACAACCGCAGATTAAAATGATCACAATTAAATTAATATTAAAGCAAGGCGATGAATATTTTATTTGATTCACTAATATAATTAATTTAATTATATTAGTTATTTTAGTTATAATTATATTAGTCAATTTAATTATATTTTTAATAAGTACTAATAAGCACTTTAATTATATTTTTAATAAGTACTAAATGAAGTTGTACTTTCTGGACATTTATGGCAGATACTAGGATTTTTCTAACGGCGATAACAAATTCGCAAGCTCGGAAAAATATGCATCAAAACTAAATATAATCGAGCAATATATTCTCACATTATTATGTTCGCAGATTGCCGTGGCATTTTGAAGAAGTTATGTTTTCATCTTGTCATAAGTCGACGCAACCGCCATTTATAAACTAAAAAAGTCGGCTTTTTAAAACCCCTTGCTTGATGAGCAATCGAGCCCAATTTTGTATACCCATTTTCATTCTTGTCATACGACCCGCAAACTTCACCCAATATACAATAATTATATATCATTGTAAAGGCCTTTTTGAGTATTATACGATAGATGTTACTGGAGGACCGTAAACTGAAACCCGTGTTGATGACGTCTCTCGGAACGTCAAAAAATACCAAATATATTTTCACCTTTCTCATCCTGTCATCTGTTGAACGAGTTATTCTCTTGTAAATCTCAAATGCGACTATACAGTTGACTGCTTTTGATTTACTCTTTTATAAAATACTAGTACTGCGCTGATAGGGCAAGTCATTCGAGCGTAATATAAAATTTTCGCTTGGTAAAGTCACCGCATCGGATCAGTCCAGGATATGATTGACCGATCGTTCTGTTGTTTATTTGTTCATTATCGTGCTGTGAGCTTTTGTTAGTCATAATAAAACATTCAGTGCGCCACGCTAAAGTTTATTGAATTTTATTTCTTGTTGTGCGTCGTTTTTCTATCGCAGCGGGAAGTACACGCTTGAAATGTGAGCGATTTTTTATCACTTGCAACTGTGATATAACGTTCATTCTTATATTGCTGTGTGGGAAACTAGCTTTTCTTCCAATCAAGACCATAACAAACATTCCAGACCTGATGGTTTACACACAGCATTGCGAAACGTCTGAAATTGCGCAAATGCGTCTACTCGTGTAAAGGAGATTTTAACAAACGCGTAATTGCGGTGAATTTCCGATTTTGAAATTCGTTAAAATTCTGTTGTGTTTGGTTTTACTACTTCTTCACACAGAGTACGCTTGAAATAAACGCACGTTGAGTCCGCAAAGGTTTTCGCCGGTGACAAAATAGTCCGCGACCAAAAAAGGTTGGGAAATGCTGTTCTAATCACACGGATAATTATCACGGCTAGATTTCCATTATTTTTTCGAAGCCTTATTGATTTAGGTGATTGATATATACATAGACGTCTCCTCGGATATCGTTTCAAACTCCTCATCTGAATGCCAGAGTATGAGGATATCATAATGTGTATTACCAAACATGAAAACCTTCTAATATAAAATGTGGCAACTGGGGAATTATCCGTTGTCCACAAGCGTCCTACAAAACAAAGTAAGCTGAATATCGAGTCATGAGTTGAGCACGTTTTTATTACATTTTCAAACTTTCGGAAGTCGGAGACAAAGTTGAAATATCTAACTATTCGGAGTTGTAATTTCAAACTTTTACTGGAGATAAACAAAGTCGAAATTTCCGATTGAAACTAAGAAAGCAGCAAATTGAATAATCAGTCTCAAAGACAATTATGCACGTGCGTCAAAGTTTTGTTCTACAATACGCGCATGTTATAGGGCTTCTGTATATAATCCATATGTTTCGACTCGTGGCGCGGGCATGATGTAAGTAAATCTTCATCCAATTATACTACCTTGCGGTTTGGTAATAAGATCCTTTTTTAAGGTTTTCGCTTCTCCATGGGGTCTTCTGCATAATAACGTTCACATTTTAAATCAATTGAAAATCATATCCTGCTGTACGTGTCTAATTTAGTGCTCTATTCCGTCTGCACTATTAGGTGTAAGCGCAGGAACATAACATAGGTCTATTTACAACCTATTTGACTGCATCAGATGCAATAGAACAGTGGTTCCCAACCGCCGGTCCGCGAGAAATTTCGTTGTTTTAACGCTGTCTCAATCGCTTTTTAGGTAATAAAGATGAAATACAACTGCTCAAGCAAGTGTTTGTATATCTTTATTGTAGTAAGTTCAGTTGTTGGACCAAACGGTGTATGAACACCGCTGGTTGTCAAAGTAGATTTTTCATAGGCTTATATACACTTTGTGAACGGTAATTCTGCCTTACGGGATAATTTGACATGGATACGTTTATAAAAGATTCTCAATATTAATTCTTGTTAAGTAATTTACATGGACGTCATAGACCGAATGATATAATTAAAATCGTTGTCCGGGAACAATTTAAAACAATTTAATATAATTATGCCGAAATACTTTTTCAAATTGGAAGATGTTTTGGGCTAATTTCAAGTTTCCCGAACTTTAATGTAAAAAATATTGTCCAAATTACTAATATTGCCTACGGCTACAGCTTCACCGAAGACAAGGTTACGTTGGTTTATTACGCAATTTCTTTCCGCAGTCATTTCGCGATATCTTGCGACGACTTTCGCGACATCTTGGCGTCGAGCAATCACACTTTTCGCTTTTTCGTCTCCGATTCATCGCGAATGCGCTCCATCAAATCTCGCAATATTCAGAAACCTAAAAATCGGCACGCGTACTTTTTCTGTTCTGCGTGCTTTTCCTGATTAATATGACCATCCATGTAAAACGTTACGCATATTCCAGTAAGATATAAACTTGTTGCGACACTGCAGGTGGTCATGAGACGCGCAAAAAAGTCCGGATTTAAAAAAACGAATCACTGTCACAATTTTGGATCTCTTGATAACGAATACCCATCGCTGAGTAATCGAGCAATCAAACTGTTGTCCGTATTTTCAACCAGTAACTTATGCGTTATGCGAAAAAACATTTCCATCATTAATTTTAATTAAAACGAAGCATAGAAATAGGCTGCACGCCGCTGCAGAGCTTCCTGGAGGCCACGTTTGCAATCCTATATTGGAAACGAAACAGCAGCAAAATTCTCACTAGAGGTAATTGTGTTTATACATAATTAGGCATGTACATGTTTTTTATGTGAGATGTTTTATGCGTGCATTTCTTACACATAATGGGTGCCCAACACTGATTTTCATTACGCAAATATATGGTATTATTTTATGTTTCACCCACTTCAATTTTTGTCCGTCACATTATTAGATAGTTTTTCTTCGTGTGAAATGTTTATAAGTGCGCCTTTTTTTCCTAAAAGCATATTGAGTGCCCGACATTGCATTATATTACGCAAATATATGTTAGTCTTTTCCTTCCGGTCATTTCAATTTTTTACCGGTCCGCGAGTACATTTAATTTAATTTTACCGGTCCGCCAGGGTAGAAAGGTTGCGCACCGCTGCAATAAAACACGAAGTATTGTGTGCCAACTGTTTAGCGGAATATACGAGAATTGGCTGAAACCGCAAATGCTCGAAGAGCAATTTAATCTGGCGCGGCCCAGGATTATGAGAACATACATTTTTCGAATGGCATAAACGCTGAATTAGAGATTGTTGTGCTTATTGTATTGAAATCATGTAAAAAAAATGAGTATTGCAAAATTACAATCGGAAAAATATAATAGATAGCGATCAGAGACCGCCGACTTATCGCGGCGTATATCTTTCGCTCTTACTCATTAGTGACACCGCGTGTCCCTAGGCTTCTGATCCAAGATATGATGAATGCATATGCAAAATTTGGAGCGGATTCATCCTCGCTTTCGTGAGATATCGCTTGTATCTAACAGACAAAGAGAAAAATACTTATCAACATACTTACCGATCAAGATCGATAAGTAATGAATTGATAACCTTGATAATTTTTATTCTCATCACGCTATTATTGAAAAGAGTTTCCTCTATAGCAACAGGTTTTCAGATAACAAAGCTCGATAAATTGTTTTAAACGAGCATTTTTTTACATGAAAAGCTACACAGAATCGCACTCAACTAGACTCAAAAAACTCACAGTTTATTGCAAAAATGTATAAAATTAAATTCGCTAACAGTAAACTACTTGTGGACTGAATAAAGTGGAGGCGAAGTTTTTCGAAATAACCAAACCTGAGGGTTCTCGTTATTTTAGAGAAAAGTATATATATAGAAGTACTATTATTCCTGAAGACACTTCCATCTCTAAATATCACTATTTTATCCTAAAGCAACAACAACATCCGAATGGACAGCCATATTCCAGCAAAAGCACCGACCTCTTTATTTCTAATTTATCTAATTATATCTAATCTAATTATATCTAATCTAATTTATAATTCTAATTTATTTCTAATAATGTATCGGAGTGGCGTAACTTTTGAACCTAAGTTAAAAGTTCATACATAAGTTTTCAAGATTGATTATGATGCTCCTTTTCGATTCAATGGAATAAATTTTATCAACCCCTCTTTACACCATAACAAACGAATTTCTTCACAGACGGCATATTCTGGAAAATATAATTATACAGAAAAACATTGGAAAAAATTCAAAGGCTCCACTTAGACTTAGAGCGAGGGGCGTAATAGTTTTTTTTTGCGAGATTATGAATCTGGTCAATGAAATGGAAATATGTATATTATTATTATAAAATTAAATTTGGATTTCTTGATGTATATGCATGGATGTATGGAATCCTTGGACTGAATTTAAAATAAAAACTTTATTTTTTCATGTTTTATGTTCTCTTAATATTTGTTTTCCTTCGATAAGTAAATGGCTACGTTGTTAAAAGAGAATCAAAGACTCCATTTTAATTTTTCAAAATCATAATCTCAATAATTATAGCGCCATATGTAAAATCATATGTTCAATTATATCAATTTTATGACTAAGATAGTCTTCACATTATTATTGGTGTCATAGATATAAGTATATGAAATAAATTCCGAATCTTTTTTAACTGAAGGTTCTCGTTTTTGAAATTGTGGATCGTTCATAAAGGTAAAAGCGATTGAGAAATGTGCATAGATAATATGTAGTTTTGAAATCAATCAGTTTTTTGACGTTGAATTGAACACTTATTGTCATTACATTTGTTTGATAGATTGAAGAAAGATAAAAATTAATGAAAATCGAACAAGCTTGAATAGGAAAAATTAATTGAATTCCGCGAGTGAAGTGATTCCGCGAGTCTAGTAATATATTTATTGTTAAGTGGATATTATGCATCCCATAATTACTTCAGTCATATATACTTATTGAGAAAAATTGATTCATTTGCAAGATAATTGATGAGTCTCAATCCAAAGAAACATGGCTAAATAGCAACCGATCTTATCTATTGAAGAGTCACCACCCCAGATTAGGCGAATTAAATTGACTCTTCTTTTAAATCGATAACGATTATTCATTCAGGTAGAAAGCTTTCCATTACTTGAGGAAATGAAGAGATAGCTGTATAAATACATCGCATGATTTCATAGAAACATGTTACAAACTGGCAGCAAAGCAAGATGAAACTTGGATATTTTGCACTTTTCGTTGTATATGCCGCTATGGTAGTTGAAGTGACACCATTTGATACCGGCGAATTTCCAGCCCCTACAAATAACAATGGGGACACAAGGTAAGCAGTTATAAAATAGGTCATATTCAAAGAATGGTACTCCTGAAGTATGCGCACCAAGATGTCGCACAACCAGAACCTAACCTGGTACACAACCTGAGTTCAGGTTATGCGCCATCTTGGTGCGCATACTTCAGGAGATCCCAAAGAATGGTATATATATATATATATGTATGAGCTTGAAATTTAATTCTTGTTGTCAGATTTTAAGCAATCTTTCATTTTTTTCAAATCAATGATATTCTGATCTTTTACGCACATACTTGAGTCGAAATTAAATGGCTCCAAGTGCAAACACTATCATCTTCGTACACTCTTATTTTCGATGACTTATTCTTATACTGTAATACTTTCAAACAGAGGACCGTCGCCTGTGAATTGGGCAAAGAAAAAACGTTCAATTTTTCACGACGACAATTTTGCTGGTAAGATTCTAAAAAATCGTCTCCGAATGAATTTCTTCCTTTTTCCATAAAACAATTAATAGTTTTATATGTAATTGATATGTTTTGTCGAATTAATTAAAAATCTCTCAATACAGGCAAATTAAAATTAACAAAGTCCAGCTAGAATACGATTTGAATGTATATTCAATTTTCGATTCGAACATTTTTACGATTTGGAACTTCATTTTGGAAATGCTGAATTAAAATGATTCCTCATTGACACCGTTGTGTTATGACATTCTCACGTAATTCAAATTGAAGATTGGAATATTGACTTAGTGGAGTCTTCGAATTGATGATATCATTTACATCTGATTGTGTTTTATAAATATGCAAATACGTGTTACAGATTTTCTTGCTGATTTTGAGGACATGAATAAAGAAGGGCCAAGCATAGGATGATCGAACGGTCGGGAATTCAAGACAGCTTTCTGTGAAATTTTGAAATCAACTGAAATTTATTGAATGCAATCGCATTGTCATTTTTATTTTTAGATCAAATAAACTTGAAACATTACAATTTTTGACATAAATATATCATTCTCTGCTGCTGAAGCAGGGTGATTAGAATTTTATCAAATGGAACAAGGACCAGGGTAAACCATGGATCAGAAATTTAATAGGAATAGTTCTCTAAACTTTAAAGAAGGTTATTTCAGGCCTAATAATTGATTGTGAAACACAGATCTCTAAAATCCCCAAGCAAGTATTTTTCTGATATATATATATATATATATATATATATATATATACAAGTCATGTCATTAAAATTGTTCAGATTGCAATTTTTGTTTCCACTTAATAGCGAAGCCACGCTACCTAGGTGGAAATCGATTAAAATGACCAGCAATACTCAATGAAATCTCGTATTGTTGATGGATATAGAAGTTGCATCTAGACGATTAATATTTAGAATCACAATAAAATAATCAGAATTTCGCCGCCACTTTGTTGGACTCAATATATATATATATTCATTTCCTAAAATATTTTCGAAATATCCACCGAATAAAATTTGGTAATTCGAATGTCAGAAAACATTTTCAGAAGCGCATACTTCAAAAGTACTGATGTGTAAGTCACTGACCAGC